AAAAGCGTACCTGATGAACTATTGCTACAGCCGTCTTTACGAAACGGTGCATGGAAGCCAGGAATACTAATGTATTCATCATTCACAGAGGCATTCAAATGGGTTTCAGAAAAACCAAATATATCAAAATTTCTGATTAACTCTTTAAGCTCATCAAGCTTATTAATTATGTGACAAACATTTAAGTGACCGCAGTGAATTCCTCTTTGTTTTAAGAAGTTAAACATATCAAGGGGAAACAAGCCAACAGTGAGGCTGATGTCCCCCGCCGAAATCCCAAAATAAATATTAACAAGGCATTGACCTAATCAACACATACACCAAGTTTGAACATTCTAGCTCAATTAGGAAGAGAGTTATCGTGCCCCAAAGTATCAACCAATCAAATTGCTTATCTCTGCTTACCCTAAGCGGAAAATGCTCATCTTCGAACTCCATCAAGGCATTGACCTAATAAACACATACACCAAGTTTGAACATTCTAGCTCAATTAAAAGTTATCGTGTCCCAAAGCATCAACCAATCAAATTGCTTATCTCTGCTTACCCTAAGCGGAAAATGCTCATCTTCGAACTCCATCAAGGCATTGACCTAATCAACACATACACCAAGTTTGAACATTCTAGCCCAATTAGGAAGAGAGTTATCGTGTCCCAAAGCATCAACCAATCAAACTGCTTATCTCTGCTTACCCTAAGCGGAAAATGCTCATCTTCGAACTCCATCAAGGCATTGACCTAATAAACACATACACCAAGTTTGAACATTCTAGCTCAATTAGGAAGAGAGTTATTGTGTCCCAAAAAGTGTGACGGACAGACAGACGGACAGACAGACGGACGAACCCATTTTAATAGTCCCCTGCTTTCTTCGAAAGGCGGGGGACAATAACTCGAACTATACTAAAGCTATTTGCAAAACAAAACAATAGGTTGATAACTTAAGAGAGGCCTAGATGCATTCACTCCAGTACATATATATCTTAAAGTTACAGCATGCATATGGGTTAAAGCCTGAAGGCAGTCCTTTAAGTTACACAAATATAGATATTTTACAAAAAGACAGACCTATAAATGAAATATATGTACTTAAACAAGTACTTGATGTAAAACAATTGAACAAGATTAACACAATAAGTTAGACAGAAAATGGCTGTTTAAAAAACAACCTCTAGCACAAATAACTAGACACTAAAGTAATGAGAGTGAAAATTTACAAACTACAAAAACCTATAAATATCAAGAGTGGAAAACAATTATGTACAAAACATGCTAAGTGGGAATTATAATATAATGAGGCTGGTGGAATAAAATGATTGATTTACACTGCATTTATTTATATACGTTTACATTGTACTATACCATTTGTGTATCATACATGATACAGAACCATGGCAGTTTACACTTAACTCCTTAAAAGGTTAAGGCATACATGTAATACATTCCTTTGCTAGAGATTATGAATTAGTAATATACATCTATAAATATGTATTTTCACCAGAATATCATGATTGTGTTCATTACATAAACAGATCAACAGTATGCCTACATGGGGGGGGGGGGGGTGCAAATAATTAATTATATCACAGTTTACTTAAATGCAGTATCCTATTTTTTGTCTGGAGCAGCTAGCACTACCTGATACATGTTGGATACAATACATGTAAGCTGCAGCCAGAGTTCATTTGACATGTATTGAATCTTCAATTCATTTCACATTTTGCAATATTTACTACTTATTAGCACATATTAAAGAAAACACAGATTGTGCCTGGGCATATCACATAAAAGCACTAATATTATAAGGACACATCTAATAGCTTTACATACAAATGCCCATGTAGATTAAAACCATAAATAATAAACTCATAAAAGCACTAATATTATAAGGACACATCTAATAGCTGTACATACAAATGCACATGTAGATAACCATAAATAATAAACTCATAAAAGCACTAATAAAGGACACATCTAATACATGTAGCTGTACATACAAATGCTCATGTAGATAAACATAAATAAACTTAAGATTGAGCATGGACACACAGCTTTGCATTAAAATAAAACACCACATAGCTGAACATGAATGGATGGAATTATTATAATCACAGATTTCACATGTACACAGAAAACCTCAAATAGCTGTTTGAAGATAAGATTTACCCCAAGCTGCATTCTTTACCGGCGATCCGTATCTGTAGGTTTGAGTATTATTAAAAGACGGGGAAAACCCAGGGGGTGGAAACCGCATGTCTGGGAACAAAGGGGGTAACCAATATGGTAATTGTTGAAGACTTTGGGGTTGGACTGTACCTATGTTATTTCCTGCATTACGTTTTGAACGTGGTTGATGCGGTCTTTGGTTATCATATTTCCCTATTATTCTGGTTTCAAGGTTTAGAGCAGTTTTAAGATGTGTAGCTAGTTTTGCAGAGCCTTTGTAATTTAAATGTGCTTCATCTTCATATAGATATTCTTTTATTGTGTTGTTATTTGCAAAACATGTAAAATGCGTTGATAAAAAGATACAGTTTGTCTCAATGCATGTCTCTTCAAGTGTTGAAGGTATTGAGGTGAAGAATCGTCATTTAGAGCAAAATACGTAATAGACAATTGATACACTGGAAGCCAATGGAGATCTTTAAACATACATTATGCAAGCGCTAAATCTGCCTATCGCAGGTCTTTCTTTAGGCCTGAAATGTTATATAAACTATCAATTAGACATTTATTAACAAAACAAGACCATAATCAACTCTCGCTTGCATCGGATACTCGAGATTTTAACTAGATTAGAACGGTTCGCCATTTAAAAATTTAATTTAACCAGAGGCTGACAGACTGATACGTCCACATTTTGATTTTGCAAGAGATGGATAGAGAACAAGCTAAACAAAAAGAGATTTTTCGTACAATTAAGGGCCATCATTCAGGAAGTTACGTTCCGATATGCGCGAATATCGCCAGGAACCAAGATATTTGGGCTATAAAGATATATTGCAAGTTTCATCAATATCGGATCAAAATTGTTACCTCTGGAGGAACCATAAGCTAAAAACGGGATTTTTCGTACAGTCAAGGGCCATAGTTCAGGAAGTTACGATCCGATATGCACGAATATCAACAGGAACCAAGATTCTTGTGATATAAAGATATTGGAAGTTTCATCAAAATCGGATCTAAATTTCGCCTCTAGAAGGTCCACAACCTTGATATACCATATATTTACACTATTTGCTTACGAGGGGCGGCCATTTTGTACGTCAGTTTTGGTCCGATTTTCACGAAATTCGAACACAAGCATCATTAGGGTGTAACCGTGATATATTCAAACGTTTCTTTTAAATCGGATAAAAATTGTGACCTCTAATCGGACCACAAGCTAAAAACGCGATTTTTCGTACATGCAAGGGCCATAAAACTTGCCAAATGTTTTTATTGTATATTTATGACCAAATCTCCAACTTTACTTAAGCAATAATTCTCCTTCCCATACACAGAATTGAACCCAGGAAATGTTCTCAAAAACGCAACCTAACTTCTGAGATGGTAATGTGTCCTCCATGATTTTCATGTGACTCATGCTGCACGTGATGTTCACCGGGACCAGCCCTATAAAATGCACCCCCATACCTGGTTGAATCATTCACACTACAACGTCAGCAGCATGCCACGACTCACGACAGTTCAGAGGAACAAGGCGCTTGGAAGACTCGACGCTGGCCACACTGCCCAAGCCATTGCCAATCACTTCCTGGTCAATGTTCGGACCATCTACAGACTTCAGCAACGCTTTCGGGCCACCAACGACACGGATGATCGCCCCCGAACTGGTAGACCAAGGCTTACCACAAGGCGACAAGGCCGCCAAACTATGCGACTGCATGTGCAGAATCCCTTCACACAAGCATCTGAGACAGCATGTCAGACGAACAACACCAGAACTGGCGACACAGGCATTGGAGATGGAGAACTGTTCTGTTCATAGATGAGAGTTGGTATTGCGTATCAACTGCAGATGGCAGGACGTGGCCAGTGTTATACTGACCAATGTGTCATAGAACGAGACTCATGGGGAGGTCCAAGCATAATGGTTTGGGATGGAATCGGCCTGAACCAGAGAGTGGGTCCTGTGGTGTTCCAAATCACAGAAGTGCGCTACATCGATTAATCTCTCAGACCCCACGTCATACCACATTTCGCACGTCGTCGAAACAACGTTTTCCATGTATGAAAACGCCCGTGTCCACACCGCCAGAGTTACTCGAGACTTTCTACAGCAGAACGGTGTCAACGTTATGCACTGGCCAGCCGTTAGTCCGGACTTAAACCCAATTGAACTTTTTTGGGATGAAATTCAGAGGAGACTTAATAACGTCGTACCGAGACCAAACACAGCCGATGGATTGCGCCAGGCTTTTCTGAGAGTGTGGTTCCAGGCACCAATGGCGTTCATCAATCGTCTGGTCCACTCCATGTACAGACGCTGCGTTGCTGTTATTGACACTCGCGGTGGACACACCAGATACTGATGTATAGACTGTGTACAGACTCTAAACCTTCTCGTAGTTTTGGAATTGTGATGAATTAATCAACATACTGTTCACAAAAAATTGCTTTGATCCAGTTAGTAAGTCGTTTTCTAGAATGATTTTGGAATCGTACTGACGTTGTTTTTTTTGTTTGCTGTTTAGTATATTTATGTAGTTGTTTTATATTCTGTTCCGATGTAAATAAATCATATCTTTACTAAACTGATATCTGTTATCACTTAGATAGAATTACATAGGACGATGAAATTTCAATTGGGGCCCTTACCCACGCAACGGAATGAAATGTAAATAGTCCATAAAATTAAACATATATTTATTGTATTGGCACTTCCTACTAAAGAAGTGTTTAAACATTTAAAAAGACTTGCTGTACAGAAAAGATTAATCAACACAAACATTATATAACATATTAACATGCTCATGGGGCATACATTAAGGCGTTCATAAAATTAAACATATATTTATTGTATTGGCACTTCCTACTAAAGAAGTGTTTAAACATTTAAAAAGACTTGCCGTACAGAAAAGATTAATCAACACAAACATTATATAACATATTAACATGCTCATGGGGCATACATTAAGGCGGCATTGTGTAGAAAATTATATTACACACTTCAAATAAATATTTTGTCTTTATCACGTTGAACGCATGGGGAAATAAGTAAAATATCAGGTAACTGGCAAACTCATTTTCGTGTGGTTGGATATCTTTAATTATTATGAATGGTTTTTGATGAAATTTGTTTCGGTGTATGTAAACACAACACCTCCAAGTTCATGCCATTTTCATGTGTTTATGTTTGTGTTAATTAAATTTATATAGTGCATTTTAATGATTTCATTAAATAATATTTGTTTTCTTTTGTCAGTAATGAGAAGATTTACAACACATGATTACGAGTAATAACCCATGAAGTAATTATCAGAAAACATGTCTCATGACCTTAAACAATTTATATTAACTTTAGCCTCTAGAGCCTCAACAAGATCTACGGGTTTTTTCTTCTCATGACCTTAACCACCGTGTATAAATTTAAAGTCAATCGGATATTAACTTTAGCCTCTAAAGCTTCCACAAGCTTTTTCAAACCGTTCAAGGGCCTTAACTCTGTTAGTAATTATTGGAAATCGCTGCAAATCAATAGGATTCTTCGTCCAATGACCTTAAACACGGTGTATAAATTGAAAGTCAATTGGATATTAACTTTAGCCTCTAGAGCGTCCACAAGCATTTGTGGACCCCGGACGAACGGACGGGGTCGACGACACAATATTATGTGGCATATAAAAAAATGAATTAAATGTTGCTAAACTAAAAACAGAAACAATCTGATGTTAATCTTCATTATTGTCCAAAGTGCACAAGGGAAGAAAACTTGTAAAACTGAGCTAATACAAAAACAGCCATGTAACTAGTCACATTGTTTAAAATACTCATAATGTGAAGTTAACACTTTTACAATTTCTTCTGACATAACTTTCCACTCTATACCGTGTACATTAACATCAATCTTATCAGGGTGATAGTGTACCACCGCCTTTTGGTATAATTTCTTCAGATCATTGGGCTCCGGTTGTTCCGGTATCTCACCTAAGGTATGCTTTTTGTTTTTAGGTGGGAATGTTTTGTAGACGTATCTAAGAAAATCTGCCTTTGATGAATCGGCAAACTTTGTATTCATTTCATCCAGTTTATCTTTAAGCCTGTCTTTAATCGCCTGTCTTTCCTGCCTTTTCTTCTCTTCTTCTTTCTGCAGATCTTCTTGTTGATACTGCTGTAAGATACTGGTCGCCAAACGATACCATTCTGGAAAGAAAATCACCACGAGCTCAAACTATGTAGCCTAATTTCAATGTTGACCCACGCCAGATTAATGATAAAAATGTTATTTTCATACAAGACAATGGATTATGTAATTGTGCCCTTTTTTAATATGTGCACCATTTGTGCTTTGACTACATGTGGGAACCACGATGGCTAGGAGTTGTCAGGTATTGATTGCCAGACGATATCATTCTGGAAATAAACACAAATGTTTATACACATATTTATCTTGCTATCTGGGAGACAAGGTGGCGCAGTAGGTAGGACGTTGGCTCACTAACCCGGAGGTCCTGTGTTCGATCCCTGCGTTGGCCGAGAAAGTTCATCAGAATTTTCCGACGTCAGTGATGTGGGACGTAGGGCCTGACAAGGAACAAAGTATAGTATAGTCATTCGGATGGTACAAAAAACCGAGGCTCCGTGTACACATTGGCGTACACGGAAAAGAACCCTTCACAGATGGAATTCAAAATTCCCCCCATAGCACACTGCAAGGCATATGCCTGTCTTCAGTTGGACGTTGAACATAATTTCATTTCATCTGGCTATGGACTTACTTGCTACTGATAATATACTATATGGATGTAATACACACCTTCGTCATAGACAGTTCTTGGTATTAAAGTGTTGGCTAGCTCAATACATTTCGTATAGTACTGTCTAGCACGATCTTTTAGCTTCAAAATCTTGTCGTATACTTTGCCTATTCTGCAATGAGCAATAGCTTCCATTTCAATATCATTCTCACGTGTCAAATTGATGACCTTTCTATACCAATCAATGATATCCCAGATTACATCAAAATTAATATTTTCTTCTTCACTCACAACAACCACGAACAAATCATCGGCTACATTCATAAAAAAAAATATACAAATAAGTCCAATCTATTATTAAGATTATATTTTGCTATTTCATTTCGCCTTTATAGCCCAGATTTTCTTCACGTTGTGTACTTTTAAATAAATAAAACTGGTGGACATTGTATTGTTGTACAATTTGGTTTATAGAAGAAATACAGTTATGACTTTACAAAAGCTATTATAAGTTAAAATCTGTAATCTGAGTTTAACGAGTCTAGAACTCAGACCTACTCCCGAAAGGCTATACAATCTGTTTCAAATACAGATATCCAATTTCGTTCTGAATACCCACTTGGAACACCGACGCCGATTAGTTAATCAAAAAATTCGTATGACCCCTGACGCGACATCGACAACAACCAGTCGCATTTTCAAGTATCGAAGGCCATCGAAAGTATTTAATTTAAAAAAAAAACGAAATATAGATCTGTATTTTAATCAGATTAAAATGTTCTATGGTTTCTTTCAGTCGGAGGGGTATTAAGGGTGGATCTTGTATTACATAATAGGAAATGGGATTTTCGGGCTTCTAGTTTTCGAAATTTTCCCCTGACCCACGTTGTGCGCTTGGCGCCTTCGGCGCTCGCAACATCCCCCATCGTCCCCTCCCCCTCTCTATCTAAAGTCTCTGGATCCGCCCTTGGGTGTCTTTCTTGAAACGCCGATATGATGTCTACTAACTTGTGGCCCGTGCAGCTTTTTCAAAGCTGTCCCTTGCATTCGACCTGTTGACACTATTTTAATCCACGCATAGCAATACAGTATTGTTATACCAAGTTTAACCTTGTGGCGATATGTAGGTAAGGACCCCAAATGACCTATCCTTCATCGCGTTACAAAAAAGGGAATATAAAACCTTCAGATTGTCACTTAAAATCAAACTAAAACTAAATGCGAATTGAATAACATGAGATTCCAATACAGCCTACCTATGTTTAAAGCTTGCAGTGATTCAGCTATACAAGTTTGTATACGGACATCTTCTTGAAGCATCTCAATACTCTCTCTGATAGATTTGGTTTGGGCAAACCGGATTCCTTCACAGACAGGAAAGTAACAGTCTTTCAACAAAGATAAGGCTGTTCTATAATCCTTCCCCAAAACTTTCTGCACAGCTAAATTTAGATAAAACTCAGTGAGCTCATAGTAAGCGTTGGCTTTGTTATCATCGCCTAATATATCTTCAACATATATATGATACTTCTTTATATGATCCTCTATGTCGTTATCAATAGTATCTTGAATACTCATCCAGCACTGTAATGACATGGTCTGAAGACCGAGCAACCAGTCACCGTTTTTATCTCTTCTGCCATATTTCTCTGCGTTACTGAAATATTTCATAGCTTCTTTGAAATAAAACTCGACTTGAGATGTATCATCACTTGCAGAACATACTTGAGCCATCTTAAACGCTGCCATTCCAAAGTTCTTTTGAGCTGAAGCTCTTTCGTCGTCAGTCTCTGCATAATTCTCAGCTCGGTAATAAGCGTTCATTGCATCTTGAAGATTCTTGCGAGCTACCACTGGTGCTAACCCGTCTACAACTTTTTTATAGAAGTTATTACCTTGATTTCTCCAAGAAACTGAAACTGCAGAGGAGGACGTCATAGCTGCAATGTAAAAGAAAAGCGGTCATAACAAGCTACACACCGGCAATATAAAATAGATTTTATACTTGAGTCATTATGGCCGTTGCATAAATGAGTGACTATGTGTGACTGTGGTGGGGGACATGTAATTGCATTCAGTCAGTACTGATTCAGTTAGCTGTAATATTGTAGCGGGGTCTTGTCTTGTTCACCACTACAATTGATACACTCTTCGAGGCTTTGCTCAAGTGAAGATACCCTCAAAGGCACGTGTTCTACATTTTCTAACGATGTACAGGCCGCTATGACATCACCCAGGTGAAATCTCACCAGATATCACGTCACAGAGCCCAGTCCATCTCTTTCTTTATAAGGATTAGTTTACTATAACCAAATGCTATTAGCATCTAAACATGGACATGACCTCCATATATGGAAAAATAATGTTATGTCACGTGCGACGAAGTGTTCACGCTCGCTATTTCTGGCTTGGCGGACATTTTAAGTTGGAAAGTAAAGAAATATCGCGTAGGGGTTAGATTTCATCAAATCATATAATCATGCGGTAAGGTTTGACCTTTATTTCAAAAGGAATTAGTTTCATTTATGTTACGCTATGTGCAATACAGTTTGGGGTCAGTTTAATAGGAAATTAAGGGGGTTGTAGGCCAGTAACTTTTTTTGTCATCAAATAACTACAAACTTGCTCAAGGGAAGCCCTTGTGGCTGGATCAAGACGGAAGACTCCAGTAGTGGAGCCATTTCTATGATTCAATGCGTAGAAATAGCAAGTTCAGTTACGCCATGAACGCCCCAGCGAGCTTCGTCAAGGTGCTGTTGTGAACAACTGATTCCGGCCATGAACGCTTGGTTCCCCCGACAAATGAACTATCCACAAGAAGAGAAGAATAGAGAACCCTGGCGGCAATTAGACCCCATACATAATATGCTAGCATCGGGTCATTACCGACTCTAAATTAAACATAATAAAACGGCACACCTTAGACGTTTGGCCCCATAGCCACCTATTTCAGTACACAAGGAGAGATAAGTGTAGTGGACAACGGACAAGCAGATTGATTGACAGGGCCGACAAGGATACACATCGTAAGCGCACAAAAGATAGGTTGCCAGGCAACGAAACATACGCCCACAGCAGCTATATCGTCCGGGCAGTCAACAAGAGTTGTCACATATTTTTACTTTTTTCGGTAATGAAACATTTATAATACATTAAAATCTGATTAAGAGTAACAACTCATTAAGTAATTATCAGAAAACCATTAGAATTTGTTTGGTTTTTATAAAGTTCTGCCCCATGCTAACGTTTAGTATATAAAACTTTTAACATCATGGATTTAGCTGTTCAAGTCATAAAGATTCTTGAAAATCAATATACGTGTTCGTCTCTGGATCTTAAACACTGTGTATAAATTTAAAGTCAATCGGATATTAACTTTAGCCTCTAGAGCGTCCACAAGAATTTTCAAAGTGATCAAGGGCCATAACTCTGGCAAATCGATCAAAATCAATAGGCTTCTTCGTCTCATGACTTAAAACACTGTGTATAAATTTAAAGCCAATCAGATATTAACTTTAGCCTATAGAGCGTCCACAAGATTTTTCAAAGTGATCAAGGGCCATAACTCTGCCAGTAATTATCGGAAGTCGCTGAAAATCAATAGGCTTTTTCGTCTCATGACCTTATACACTGTGTATAAATTTAAAGTCAATCGGATATTAACTTTGACCTCTAGAGTGTCCACAAGATTTTTTGAAGTGATCAAGGGCCATAACTCCGACAGTAATTATCGAAAATCAATAGGATTCTTCGTCTCATGACCCTAAACACTGTGTATAAATTTAAAGTCAATCGGATATTAACTTTAGCCTATAGAAACTAAGTAAGAAAAGAAATACCCCCCCCCCCCCCCAACAACATATACAATGTCCATATCAAGCTTCCATATTACACGTCACATGACGTAACCTTGTTAAAATTCCAAGAAGTAGATATAACATACACATGACCTAATTATAGGGAAAATTTATAGGCTTTGTGATTCTTGCGGGGTTTTTTGGTGGGTTTTTTTTTTGGGGGGGGGGGGTGCTCTCATATTTACATCTCAGTACCAGTGCCAAAAACCGACCCTGCCCACGGTAAAAAGAGGCAAATGTATTCAATGATTCAATGCGTAGAAATAGCAAGTTCAGTTACGCCATGAACGCCCCAGCGAGCTTCGTCAAGGTGCTGTTGTGAACAACATAATGTATCGGGAATGTCACAATTAGCTGTATGTCTGCTCCTCACAGGCTTATTAAAGATACAATATGGGAGATCAGATAAAGAGCTGACAGTTAAAAAAACTTATAATGTATGGATATTATTAAAGATACATTATGGGAGATTAGATAAAGAGCTGGCAGTTCTCACTATAATAGTTAAAAACTAGATAATGTAATAGTTATTTGCTGAAAATTTCCACTCTGAACCGAGAATTTAGCGATTGAATTTTCGGCTTAGCCGCGATCATCATTACTAAAGTCATTGCGATTATTTCATGATTTAATCATGAATAAAAGTTGAGCAACAAATCGGATCCTACTCCAGTAAATGAAATGGGGTTTAACGTCCTACTGTTCTGCTCCAAACTGGGCTAATGAAGACGGGCATACGCCATACAGTGTGCTACGTGGGAAATTTTGCCCGGACAGCGGCACTACGGCCTTCTCTTATATCGAATACCAACTGTCAAGGGATCTTTTAAGTGCACCCCAATGTGTACGCCTACACGGGACGCCGGCCATTGTGTACACCTACACGGGACCTCGTTTTTTCGTACCATCCGAACGACTAGACAGCTGTCCTTGTCAGGCCCTCCGTCCTGCATCACAGACAAGGGCGGGGGGGGGGGCACGCTTGAAAATCTGGTTAAACTTTCTCAGCCAATGCGGTGATCGAACACCCGACCTCCTGGCTAGCGAGCCAGCCTCTTACCCACTTACCCACTTAACTAACCTTTTCTACGATGGCTCGATTCGGGAATCACTCAGTTTTCAACAGGAATGTGGTAAACCTTTATGGTTATAAAGTCCAATTTGCGCGAAGGTTAAACAAACACCAACTATTTCGGCGACACAATAAACAAACCGAAAGTAAAAGTGTGGTAGCTGGGGATTAACCTGCTATTTCGGCAACCGATAAACAAACCGAAAGTAGGCCCACGATAACCTGATAATAGCAAAGTCGCACATTTCTACGGAAGCTAAATGGAGGTAGATTTAAAAATAAAAATAAAAAAAAGTATAGTTTCTATTTAGTATCTTAAAATTTCAACTTTGTTTTATCTAATAGTAAGTGCAGGAAGACCACACTTCACGCAAACAAAACCGATAAGACAAATATAAATATGCTGACAAAACACAACATAAACTACATAGACAGTGCAAGTTACATGTAATGACACAGGCTTTACACAAAAAGAAAAACAAACTTACAATAACATAGAGCCCCCCCCCCCCTCCAAAGAACCCAACAAACATAGCAAATATATTACAAGATAGAATCAATAGAAATAATGACGGCGATCGTCTGCTGAATGGCATATCTTGATGGCTATAGTCTGCCATTTGAATTATTGTTTGAAACTTTTTAGTTGCACGTTATGTTTAAATTTATATAATTGTTGTACAGCTACGGCACTAGAACATGAAATGGATGGATGTATCTTAAGCCCTCTATCGAGTACCTTAAACATTTAGTAACTGGATAGAGAAACAAACTGTAGAACATGCTTACTTCTGTAAAAATAATTACTAACTTATTTGGGCAACGTGTCGGAGAATATTTTACCAACGTTTTCAAGCAACACTGAGACAATACTATTTGAAAAGTCATCCAAATATATTTAGCAATTGTTCTTTTTAAACAGGCATTATGTAAAAGCTAAATCTGCCTTTTGCAGGCCTTTCTTTGTGCCTTAAATGTTATTTAACTTAATAATTAGACATTAATTAATTTACCAAGACCATAATCAACTCTCGATGCCATCAGATGGCTCTGATACTGATACTAAGTAGATTTAAATCCGTTTTGCAGTTGGTGATTTACCGTAAAGATGGATAATTGAGATTTCGTTTGTTATGGTAGCAATGACAATCGAGGCTACACTGTTATTTTATCGCCAATATCCCCGCTCAAAGTGAAGTAATTTGACTGAAATTTTCAACATATTCCCTTTTCATTATCTATCTTTTAACTATTATAGCAAGAACTGCCAGCTCTTTGTCTAACGCCCCTGTAATAAGTATGTCTTAAAATTTTATATCAAAAATTTAAGATTGTTAGGTCGTACAAATAAAACAGTAATTGTTCTTCAATAAGCATAGTTTATATTAAAGGGGAAGACCAACTTTCTTTTAACAAGGTCTCCATGAATCTTTAATATAGATTCAGAAATGATCCCCTCTGTGACACTAGCAAAAACAAAAAAGTTTCATGTAAGCGAGAAATTATTTTTTTATAAAACCGGAAGTGATGTAATTGGTTCAAAAGGGGATAATTTTTCTCTCCTACATTCATGGAAATAACGTCGAAAGAGCTAACGTGCGCCATTTTGGCTAGCACCACTGTAATCCTATACATGTATGCACCTACATGAGCTAATATATTGTCTCAAAGCTTCTGATTTTATGAACCCCCCCCCCCCCGATCTTTGTCACCACCTTGGACCCCCCGCTGCTCAAATTCCTAGACACGCCCCTGAATTAGTATTTATAATAGAATTGAATCAAATGAATTATTCAAGAGCTAAAACTGCCTATTATCTATTTTTTAACTATACTATTCAAAAAAAGTAGGGGATATTTGATTTTTAAGTGTTATTAAAGTCACCTAATGAAACTGACGAAGAAACAAATGACAAAATGAAATGAAGTTCACATTCATCGATTTATTCCAAATGATCGTTAGACTAAGTAAGGCACAGACTGACCATTATAAGGGTAAAATGATACCCGGGGTCAAACAGCAAAGTTACCACAGCATCACAACCAAGTCAGTAACGGGTAAATCCTCCTCTGTTTGCCAAACAAGCATTGATCCGACGTGGCATACTCCTAATGAGACGTCTAAGGTCATTTTGGTCCAGATTGTCCCATTCCTGTTGCAACGCAGCAGCAAGTTCTTGGACATTGGCAGGACGTTGTTGACGTTGACGTAACCTCTGTCCAAGCATGTCCCAGACATGCTCGATGGGGGAGAGGTCGGGACTCAGTGCTGGCCAAGGTAATGTGGTGATGTTCTGTTGTTGGAGGTAACCTGTAACGATCCTGGCCCTGTGACATCTTGCGTTGTCATCCTGGAAGATGAAACGGCGGCCATGACGTCGTGCGAACGGCACAACATGGACTGCCAAGATGTTGTCCCGGTAGTACTGGCCTGTAACACGCCCTGCAACAACATGTAAAGCCGTTCTTCCAGCAACAGTGATGCCTCCCCACACCATAACAGAACCACCCCCAAATCGATCATGTCTGATGACGTTAACGTCTTGGAAGCGCTCGTTTCGACGACGCCACACCCTCCTACGTCTGTCCAAAAAATCAACAGTGAACTTTGACTCATCTGAAAACATCACATTGCTCCAGCGTCGATTATCCCAGTGTTGACGATCCCTACACCAACGACGTCTTGCCTGAATGTGATGATCTCTCAAACAAGGGATCACGCGAGGACGTCGGGCGCGAAGGTGACCCCTATGCAGTCGATTCCGAATCGTCTGGCCACTCACTCTCACACCAGTGTCTGTTTGAAGACAAGCGCTGATCTGATGTGCTGTGATGACACGATTTCTCAAGGCCAAGGTACGGATAAATCGATCCTGGGCTTGAGTTGTCGCCCTTGGTCGACCTGAGCGTGGTCTGTCCTGTACAGATTGTGTATCACGGTATCTGGACCATAGCCTGCTTATGACAGACTGAGAAACATTCATCGTCCGCGCCACAACCGCCTGTGTTGTGCCGATCTGTAGCATGCCAAGGGCACGTAACCTTTCATTTTGGGTAAGCCGACGCATATCAAAATTTGTTTTCTGGTCACTAAAACAATTAAACTGATGTTTCCACCCTGGAATTCAATGCCACAATGACTGTAACATTCAAAGTCAGAGTCGTGCAAATCTTGGGTTGGACCCCCATGATGATCCCAAGCATCACCTGCATTCCATGCGGTAGCTATTGGTGCGTTTGGGCGTCACATGTAACTGGAAATGTTTCTTCTGTTAGGTTCTATAGTGACTTTTTTCGTAGTCATTTGCATATTTTAGTATTATGCCCCCAAAATCAAATATCCCCTACTTTTTTGGAATAGTATATTATAGCAAGAATGTCAGAATTCTAGTTTAGCGTGAAAATTGAACCGCTGTCGCGAGAAGTTTGTCGCGAGAAGTTTGTGTAATCAATCATGAATATAAAACGTAATATAATATATAAATTTATTTGATAATAAATCGAACGGACAGATAGATAAGGTATTTTACAATGAGTCATGTAGATATCCGTCCACGAAAATGGTGTCGCGGTGGCTCAGTGAGTAATACGCTGGATCGCTAGCCAGGAGGCCCTGGGTTCGCTCCCGGTGAAAGCCGAAAAAGTTCTCGGAATTTTCCGGCGTGGTTACCCCTTGTCAGTGGTGCAGGACGGTTGATCGGGCAAGGACAGTGTCTAGTACCTTTGATAGTTGACCCCCACCTGACTATAAACGCTTCCCGAATTGTTCCGGCGCACCCAGACCGTCACGCAATAAATCACGAAAAGAAAATCAACCTCGGCACCAGTGTTCGGATGCTGTCCTGTGAATGTTGCTGCAATAGTGAGATTGATTGGTTACTTTCTATCTGGAACTCAGGTTGACCATAGAGTGAAATTTCGGTTGGGGCACTTTTTAATTGTTGTACTCACAGGCCGGAACTGCCGTAAAACTGAAGAATCTAAATATGTTTGGAAAATAAAATTACAAAAATTCAAACGGCAGTTGAGCGGACAGAGACTATGGCTATACATCTTGTAACACGGGTTCATATTGGCAGAAATCGTTTTTCAATAATGAATAAATTATGAATAAAATGTGGTTAAATGGCACGTCAGCACCAACCGAGCTATATTTCGCCAAACGTATGGTGAATTTTTCGAGACAAACTAAATATAAATTATCACAATTGTCACATATTTACATAAACAAAAACAAATACATGTATCACAGAAAATACAAATTAAGAACAAATAAACTCGTGTTATATAATTCAATTAAAACGTGTCTGTTTTAAAAAGTCTAAAATTTTACCATATAGACCCGTTTGTGCAAACAGATTCTCCTTTGACAGTGCTCCCATTCACGTTGAGGCCCCCGCTTTAATATGAAAATACTTCGATCTATTCTTGAGATGCTCACCCTCAATAAGAATGTACTTAAATATCAAAAGAACTGTATAGAGTTCACATTCCGGTTGAGGCTCTCGCTTTAGAGGTATGACCAATGTGAGAGCGACACAAAACAATCCCTCCTGTTGGGTCTATAGAAGTTGGGCTTAATGTGATGAAAAGTTTATGCCCCAAGACCCCAAGACCGTTGCCAGGATGTTACGGTCCGACATGCGTTAGTATCAAAAGGAACCGAGATATTTTGGATATAAACCAAAAGGATCACTTAAAATATTTAAACTATGGAATTTTGTGTGTCATAGAGAACATATTTGAACTAAAGGATTTTTTTTTACTTATGAGTTAAATCTCACTAAAATGTTTGGAGAATAACAATTTAGTTCAATTTACTCTTTCCCATTCTACATATCAGACAGACTAATAAATCACCTATCTCTTGGAATTCCTTAGTTTTGCGCGAATTACTTTATCAGCCCTGTTCTTAGAATTTTCGGAACATAATTATAAGAGGGTTTAACGAATTTGAAAAATACGGCCCTAAATGACATGATTGATTTTAAATGTCTATGAATCACATGTGCACATAATAATATTCTGCAGTTTCTGTTTATATGCAAATTAACAAATAAATCGACTAAAAATCTACATAATTTCACCCAGTATGTTATCTGCACTTCCACTCCACTAGATAGGAATTTTATCTGATTCTGAACTGCCTATATAAACACCCATCTATGTCTCATTTTCAGTATTGTATATTACACTCAGTGAGCTCTGTCTTCAAGATGTCGCATTGTCTTGCATTTGTTTTGTGCCTTTGTGCAGGTAAATTTGACAAATTTTCTCACCATTATATTTTTATTTACCAGTTTCTTATATTGTTGAATATTTTCGGTTTTCGAGGAGAAAATTGTCATGTATAACTGGTGACAAAATAACGCAACTGTCTATTCGATGATTTTGAAAGCCATACCTTAAACTTGTGCCTTTTTTTGTTTTCAGTTGTTCCAAGCTTCCTTGCTGTGGGTAAGAAATGAAATGAAGTAGAGTTTAACGCCCTACTATTTTGCTCCGACTATTGTCCCACTGAGTAGGGGGAACCACGCCGGAAAATCCGAATGAACTTTCTCAGCCAACCCAGGGACCTCCAGGTTAGCGAGCCAACGTCCTACTCACTGAGCCAAAGTTGCTCGGTTGTGGTTAAGAATAATTCTGATTAAATTTGTTTTCCATTTAGAAATTGCCTAGCAAGAACAGTATCTAGTTGCTGCGAAAAAGCGAGATCCCGTCTACATATGGCTTGCGGTAAAAGAACCTTGGCCGTTGTAATTCGAAATAAGGATAGGTCATAGCACCACTGTCCTGGCAAAATTTCCCTCATAGCGCACTGTATTAGTCCACCTTTATTAGTCCAGTTGGTGCAGAAAAACAGGATGTTAAATCCCATTTCACTTCTTTTAGAAATTTTAATTTTAATGTTAAACACCTACTAGTATATTGTTTTGTCATCATTATCAAATAGGATCAATAACATTTAGTTAGTGAGAAGTGGTATCGGTTCTTCTGAAGTCTATACGTGGGTTGAGAGTGAAGAAAATCCACGAAGTTGGATCGAAACCTGAACACTGCTTTGCGTATCGCTGTGCCATTTCCATTCCTCTACTTCGCCAGTGTATGAAAGGGCGTTGGCTTTATTCTTTGGAACTTTAAAATATACGAAAATGGGCCTAAGTGCATATTAATGTAATATGAGAGTATAATAAGTTATTTACACTCAAATTTTAAATTTTTTATTGTAATTTCTAATAAATTAATTATTATAGAAATTCGCTCGTTATTGTATGTATGGCCTTGAATATACACTTTGTAATAGCGGCCAGATTACCAAGAAGGGTTCCCTTTAAGTATCTGGAAATATATATATAATGTTTTTCGAAACAAATACATTTTCCTATATTTTTCATAAGTTGTTTTTGACTTTCCAGACAAGACAGTGTATAAGTACGCTGCCTGCAAGGTCAGGGCCAATACAAATCCAAAAGGACCAAATAAAAATAAAATCACTGGTGATATATGTGCGATTCTTGAGGTAGGTGTTTACAAATGTTTTAAGGAATTGTGTCGTCTGCGAGAGAGAAACAAATAATTCTCTCTTAGAACACACTGATTTGATTTTCTATCCTTCGGGAACATCTGTAAAAATATTTTTATTTTATCATGGTTATTTGAAGTGTTGGGCTGTTCAAAAGTTTTAATTCCAAATTTTAGAAAATTTGAACAATCGTATTTCAGGTGATTCAAGTGGCTAATTATTTATGAATATCCCGAAGAACAGAATATCAAATTGGCGTGGCCTTGTGTCTGCGAAACCATTCGAGGGCTAGAAAGATCAAGTTGTGTGAACAAATTATAAATGCACAATGGATCATAGATGGGAGCTTGTGGGACCCTTTATGCGCCCATTAACTACAAAGTCGTCCATACTATAGCACCTGAAAGTATTATCAACAAATTGCAATTTTTATAGCTTTAGCTTAAAAATTAAAATTGTATGGTAAAATATACCGGTCTATGTGAAAGTAGTATCTGGTGTTCCGGAAAGGATAAGCATACTCTGCTCCAAGATCCCACACTGTTAAGCCATACTAGGTATTCTTTTTGCATTTATAATTACCCAACTGGTTAAATAATGCGAGAAATATGCATGGCATTCATGCCTTAAGATGGAGAGTGACGTATTAATTACTATTAAGGTTAGGAAGTATTAATTTCCTAATATGGAGTTGGACATGCACATTAGCTTGGACTATTTCATAATTTGAACAGTTAGCTCTGATACCATGTCTGGTAAATTCCCCCATTTTTTTATTTAACGCGCAATAACGATATCAGTTTGGAAACAAGAGAGGGAATGGTGGTTCTTGATAAACAAAAGAGGAAATAGCGGTATATGGTCACATTTCTATATATTAAAACCGACTGTGGTTTTTGAAATACTTCAGAAGGTACAATCTGTATATCCATTTTTAAAAAAAAAAACCGTAAATCGTATATTTGTAACTTCGAAGAACTAGAATACACCAATCCCTAAATAATACGCGAAATGGAAATAAAATTGTCACAAACAGTTTTAATTTAATAAAAAAAAAATATTGCACCTTCTAGAGATGTTTTCCTTGAAAGAAAAATAATAGGTTATTGATAACGCTAATTTCAAACATGTGTTTTTATATCATCCAGTATATTATCTCATGGTTGAGGAGGATCGTTTATGAATGAATGAATGAATGAATGAATGAATGGGACAAACAAACTTCATGCATTTTTCGTTTTACTTTTTAAATATTTATATGCATATTTCAATTTAACTAAACGATTTTAAATTATTATAATTATCATTATACATACTATAATACCAAATGTTTATTCAGCTAAGTTCAGATTGTATATATTTATTATATATAGTGTATATACTGCTTTTCATTATTAGTATATCATTTGTATTGTAAAATAGGGATAGGTGTCTGACATAGGCATTTTGCCTGTTCCCCAATCTCCCATTCATTTATAGTGAATAAAATATAAAAAAAATACTAGATTTGTGATATTTTTGTTTTCATGTCATTTGTTATCTGTTTTTATTTATGTGTATGAATCACAGGTACATGAGGACAGGAACGCCCTTCTTACCAATGTGATTTTTTCAAAATTTTTGATTTTGTTTTTTTTTTTCTCTTCATATTCTTCAAAAATTTTAATCTTCTTTATTTTCTTCCTATTTGGTTCTAAATCATATAATATTTACCATCAAACATGTTCGTATATAAAAAAAAAATTATACCTTCTAATGTATCTAATAAAAATTATATAGGCAGAAGGTATGATTTTTAATACGAACATGTTTGATAGTAAATATTATATTATTTGGCACCAAATAGGAAGAAAAATAAAGCAGATTAAAAAATTTGAAAAATATTAAGAACAAAGCCCAGAAAATCATGAAAATATTTTGAAAAAATCACATAGGTCCACCATATACATGCGTGCCTGTCCCCATGTACCTGTGGTATGAATATGTTTTTGTGATTTAATTTAGCCTGCCTCATATATTTCACCATATCTTTGGCGAAATATATCCTGAATGGAGCTGACATGCCATAAAATTTTATTTCATTTCAAACAAAATGCAATGAAAGAGATGAGAATTACGTTCTCGGTCGACACTCCCATACCCGTGTAAACCCGGTTTGTTCCCAGTAACTCAGACATACTTCAAAAGGCAAAGGTCGATTTGTTTCGATCCGCGTTGACTGTAGGGTAGTGATGGTCGAGCACACCTTTGGTTGCACTGAAAAGTCCTAAAATATGGTTAAGGACAATCCATATTGTAATAAATGTAATAATTTTAATAAAATTTACTTAACCCCTATTGTAATATCAACCGCTATTGTATTAAAAAATGTAATACAATTTCATTTTTTTTAAGACAAGTGCAAGCAAGATTTGGAGAAGATTATTATTTGTTTTTTGGGTTTTTTTTAAAGTTAAACAAATTAATATTTATATACTGTTGGCCTATATTCTTTTACTGCTCTAAAAAAAATGTCTCTTCATACCATCCGAACGACTAGCCACTGTCCGTGCCAGACCCCCGTCCTGTATACATAACAAGGGAGGGAGAACCACACCGGAAGATATCAGTTATGTCATAGAAATATATATCTATGGGTCAGCTAGTATATATACACATTGGCAAAACTAAGCTTTATAATATTCCTGACATTATTAGTTCAGTCCCTGTGATTTTCGGAGGCTGTCGTTATTGTAGGCAGGGGCAGTGTCTAGTCGTTCAAATCGGACAAAACCCCTTGGTACCTGTAATTCGTAATAAAAATAGACCGTGGCACGCTGTATGGCGTAAGTCCGTCTTCATTAGCCCAGTTGGTGTAGAAAAGTATAAGGACGATAAACCCCATTTCATTTGATGGACGGATGGTCGAATGGTTAGCACGTGCGCGCTGTATAATAAAGTCTGTCATTGAGCAATTACATATCTATCATTTAAAAATGAATAGACTAGTAAAAAGGTTGAAAACTTTCATCATTAGGGCATGGGTATACATGTATACCCCAGAAAAGGGCAGGGTACAATTTGTATACCCCGGTACCCGGGTTCCGGCGCCCCTGGCTGTAATATTGGCTTTAACTGAAGGGGAGATTTCAATACATGTGTTACGTGCACTTGAATACTCTTAATCTGTTATTTGTTTGAAGTGATGTGAACTTCTTCGTACATGTTAATTCTGTGAGTTAGGGGTCTCTAATTCTTGACTTTTTATTTGAATTTGTTGAATAATATTCTCAAGGTTTGCCACTTTAGTACACATGTTATGCAAAATAAGTTGAATGTTATCAATCTTTTCCACCAGGGTCTAGGTAATATGTAGTCTAATACTATGAATAAAAGTCGTTTCCGCATTTTCTTTTTTTTTCACAACAAAAACAAAAATTAATATTTTCAAAACGAATTCTTGATTTTTAAGCGTAATGCGTTTTGAATATTAATTGTGCGTTGCCTGTTTTGTCATCATCTTATCAGATATAAATAAATTATTGTTCAGGGGTCGAGAGGCGATTACAAGAAATTAAAAAGTGCATAGAAAAATATATAAACTGGAGCTGATCCTTATGTGAGCCGGGTGATTAAAGATGTAGTATATCATATTTAAATAAAGAACTCACCGTTCTTGTTATAATAACTTAAAAATAGATAATGAAACAAATGAATATATTAAAACATTTCGATCAAATTATCTTATGCTGGCCGAAGTTATGAGTGTTTAAAGTTTTTACAAGTCTCGATTGCCTGGTACTTGCCATCCTAAACAGTATCGATTATCCGTTTTTCAGTTAAATTATTAAAGTGGCGATCGCGTTTTAATCCATTCAAAATCACGACCATACGATGATCTAGGATAGATGATTATGGGCTTGTCTAAATAATAGTTTTTAAAACTTTTTAAGCCAAAAGATAGACTTGCAATAGGCAGATTTAGTCTTACATAATGCATCTTTAAGGAGAACATGAAACTTCATCAGCCATATTGTCATCTAAAACTGTGTCATTATCCACTTGCAATTTAACATCTGATTCCGGTTGGCAACCTCCACAGTATCCTCTACATTGAATCTCAATCACCTGATCACTGTCTCGATTAAAATATTTCTGGGCCGAACCCCATCCAAATAAAACCCATTTGGTCGTTCGATCAATGATTACGCCGGTGCCAGTTGTATTTATCTTGAAAGAACCATAATTTTCTTGGGTGCATGTTTGACTGGGTCGCTGAACGCAGTCTGCCGCAACTGCGTACTTGCCATTTATGCCCCATAGAACTTGAGTGAATTGGTAATCCTGGGATCTAATGGTCATGGTGTCGACATTTAAACCTATTTTTGTAAAAACAGATTCGCCTGAAAGATAATAGTTATCGTTCAGAGCACATGAGCCTACGTAGAGATAGTGGTATTTAGGAAAATAGTGTTTATTTCCCACTGGTAAGCTTACATAAGCCTGTGGATTTCCCGTATTTAGACCAAAACAATAGATTTTAATTCTCTGTCTATTACCATATATCATAGGATATAACCAATATTCACCATCTAAATAATCAGGACCACAGTCTTTAACAGCTTCACAAGAAGCCACCTTTCGACAACGACCACCTTCCCAACGTCCGGTCGTACTGGAACAAGTCAGACTTACATTTTCTGGGTGTATTCCAAGTCCTGAACAAGTAAAAACCGCTGTAAATCCCATACCAGTTCCATTATATAGAGCATTAATTCCATATTCTAACAAAGGTAGCCCACATTCTGTCAAAACACAGGTGGTTCCATTTGATCCTGCAAGACATTTATAATTCGGTGGACAATCCGTGTACTGGCATGGTCCTGTTATTTCCTTTCTCCAGTCTATTTTAGAACCATACGCGACATCAGGAAATGACACTAAAGTTGAAAGATCAGCTTCTATTCTCATTAATTCACAAAGTCCTGATGTTAAATGAAAGTTAAATGATAAACAATTTGTCTGAACCAGACACTCCCTGGCACATGTCATCAATCCGCCAACAATATAACTCTGTATTTTGTTTTTATTTTCTAGTTTTTGTCCAACATGAACCAAACTAAGTTTAGACAAATCAGTACAAGTTTTGTGAAGATAAACAACACAGGGAAACAAAAATAACAACAGAAGTTTTACACTTTTGTTCGGAGTCTTCTTGAGCACCATTATTTGAATATTACCATTATAAGCAACTCTCAATCAAATGTATTTTTACCCACCAAATAACAGAAAATCCTAGCAATGCTTGAAGTTTTGTTTTCTTTGACATTACGGTAACTTTGGTTATATAGCCTATGACATGGCATATATTATTTATAATTTACGCGTTCTTATACGCACGATAAAATTCGATCAGTGCAGCCTGATCGTCCTGTGTATAAAAGCCTGCTATTGAACACGCTGAGAGAAAAAGACTTCTTATGTGGCGTACCTTTTCTAGAATTGGGAGTGGAGATAGGTGAGTTTAAATCTTATCGTTGAAAATTCCCGACAGCCCATTAACTTTTAGACACAAGCCTGTTAGACGTACGAAAATCCGATTATATTATTGACAAAGTATAATAAAATAAAATAGTGATCTATTATTGACCCAGTTGTGATTTAGTGTTTACTCATTTTAATACGCTTTTTGTGAAGTAGCTGTGACTCATATATGAATTACAAGGCGACTCAGTATTGACTCGTCCCATTAAAATAAACTGTAATTATCACTTAAAATGTGTATATTCTATATCATTGTGGTCTGAAACCTGATATTTAAGTTGACACAAGGTATATTTTAAAAATATTAAATTATGCCTGCATTATACAATTAGAATTTGTATTTTTAAAAAATAAAAATTAAATATAGGTTGCCAGGCAACGAAACATACGCCCACAGCAGCAGTCAACAAGAGTTGTCGCATATTTTTACTTTAATCGGTAATGAAACATTTATAATACACTAAAATCTGATTAAAAGTAACAACTTATTAAGTAATTATCAGAAAACCATAAGAATTTGTTTGGTTTTTATAAAGTTCTGCCCCATGCTAACGTTTAGTATACGAAACTTTTAATATCCTGGATTTAGCTGTTAAGTTATAAAAGTTCATTGAAAATCAATATACTTGTTCATCTCAAAACCTTAAACTCTGTGTATCAATCTGAAGTCAATCGGATGATAACTTTAGCCTCTAGAGCGTCACAAGATTTTTCAAAGCGATCAAGGGCCATAACTTAGGCAGTAATTATCGGAAATCATTGAAAATCAATAGGATTCTTCTTCTCATGACGTCAAACACTGCGTATAAATCTAAAGTCAATCGAATATTAACTTTAGCCTCTAGAGCGTCCACATGATTTTTTGAAGTGATCAAGGGCCATAACTCTGGCAGTAATCATTGAGATGCTTGAACTAAAATGAACTGGAGTTTTAGACCAGCAGCCTTGAGCACTTTGGTCAAACGAACAAGGTACCAATATCTGAGTACCGGGAATGATTACTGTGTAACCTAGCATATTCAGATATGGATGTCTGCCGGGGTCCAGTTGCTCCGTGTGGCCTTTTGGACCCCAAAGAGGACAACCAAAAATGGACTAGATCAAACATTGTGGATACCACTCGGAAACAAGTTGAAATGAACAGATACATCTCCCTGAGTACAAAACAGGCCCTGTCAGACAAATTCCCCGCCCCCGCATAGGGCCCGCCAAACGCCCCCGCAGGGTCCCAAATCTTGAGCTAGATTAAACATTGGAGGTACCATATGAAACAAAGTTAAAATGAACAATTAGATTCTACTAAGTATAAAAATCCCAATGCCAGACAAATTGTCTGCTGGAAAAGCCCTGCCAGACACCACCAATAGTTGGGCCCCACAGACATTGTGTTGAAAATGAGCTGGATCAAACATTGGTACGTGATACCACATGAAACCAGATTTAAATGAACTGGTACATCTCATTTAGTACTAAATGGGCCCTGCCAGTCAAACTCACCTCTGCATACGGCCCCCGCCAGACGCTCCCTAAGGGTCCCAATTTTTTTAAATTAGATTAAACATTGGAAGTATCACATGAAAAAAGTCAAAATGAACAATTAGACTCTGAAATGAAATGAAATGAAATAGGGTTTAACGTCCTACTGTTCTGCTCCGACTGGGCTAATGAAGACGGGCATTCGTCATACAAGGGTGCTATGGGGGTAATTTTGCCCGGACGGCGACATTACGGTCTACTCTTATATCGAATACCAACTGCCAAGGAATTTTTTTTTAGCTCCGACTGGGATAATGAAGAGGGGCATTTGCCATACAGTGTGCTATGAGGGAAATTTTCCCGGATAGCGGCGCTACGGCATACTCTTACATAGAATTCCAACTACAATGGGATCGTTAATGTGTACACGGGAGCTTGGTTTTTCCGTCCCATCCGAAGAACTAGACAGCGGTCCTTGTCAGACTCCCAGCCCTGCACCCCTGACAATAGTTACCGGTGGAGGGGGGCTCCCGCGAGGTCAAAGGGGTCCGCGGAGAAATTTTGAAAAAATTTGGTGCATTATCTGAGAGGTTGAAAACACATAGCATTTTCAGTAAAAACCTTACAAATGTTAACTAAAATATCGACATGTCCTCTAGTATTTTTTAAAGCATTCATTTTCACTAGGTTTACTTATTTTAGTGGAGAAAGGCAGTAAAAAAAAATCAACTTTTCAAAGTGAAAGTGAAAGTATTATGAAGATCGGATACCAATCAAAAATTCATTGGTTACTCGCTCGCAGTGCGCTTGGGTCTCATTGAATAGTTTTAGTCCTGAAATTCATTCTATATTTATCGAACGCGAACTCAATACAAATGATCGGCATAAAATATACATCCATACCGACTTAACCACTACACATATTGTGTAACCCTGTGTGGCTAATTTGCTCATCACTAGGCAACAAACAATTCTCACTCGTGGGAGTATTGTAACGCAGTTTACTAGTTAACAGGGGCCTTGATATAACTGTTTTTTCTCTGACGTTATTTAGATTCCCCAGTGGGATTTTATATGAAAAATTACAGACCGTGAATGCACCCATTCATACTCCCCCAGCTAGAACTATTATCCAAAATATCCAATTGATTTTAAGATTTTATTACTTACTTTTAAATGTTTAAATAATTTAGCTCCTATTTATCTCTGTGATCTTTTAGAACTTTATACACCTGCTCGAACATTACGAACATCAGATACACTACATTTAAAACCAATATCTGTTCAACTAGTCTCCTTTTTTGTCCCATCTGAAAGACTAGGCGCTGTTCCTTGCCAGTTCCTCCGTCGACCAAAGCACCGGACCTCATGACATGGTCAGTGAGACAGCATACTCACTAATGTGGCTTCTTGTCACCGGACAGAGAATAACTATACCCTTTTATTTCACGCAGCATTAAAATTAAAAGACGCGCCTCAACCGCATACGTATGTCGTGGTCAATACATTGTTAGCCGGGGGGGGGGGGGATAGATAACGTTTGTCCCAAAACAAACTGCAAAAGAAACCAATGCAGTTTGTTTCAATAATACGTATGTCCGACAACATCATAATTATTATGGAAGGATAACGTTGCCAATATTATTTCAATGTTCACGGTGAAAACAGCATGTCAGCAGTTCAAAATACGTATTTTAATTGCAATTTCCATTGCTCCACAATACCAATGTCACAGTGTTAAATTACAGAATACACTTTTCAATAATACAAAATACAGTATAATAGTTATTTTGCACATTACACTTATCCATTCTGCATCTTGGATAACAGACAAATGCATTATAGAACTTAGCATAATATTAAAACAAACACCTTATATGGGATCTACGACGAAGCTCATTGGCATACGAAAAAAAAGTCCGGACTAGGACGGAAATTAATAATTTACGCGATAAATCTACAAAATCAAGGTCATTGAGTAGAAGGGGCAGAGTTCAAACTGGCAAACAATAAGTCACCATACAATAAGTCGGCTTACCATTGAATAAGGGCGAATCAACCTAGCATGCAATAAGGAATTCGCTGGATGACCATGACCTCTTTGAAATTATGCGCTCGGTATGGCTCATCCGGGGCTTCGATAAGCCCAACATTTTTACTTCACCCCCCCACTCACTTTACTACAACTTCAGTCTCTTTATCTTTTTTGAAAAGTAGAGAGCCATGGTGTCTAAGTGGGTAAGACGCTGGCTCGCTAGCCTGGAGGTCGCGTGTTGGATCCCTGCATTGGCCTGGATAGTTCATCAGAACTTGTACACATTAGCGTGCATGAAAAGATCCCTTGGCAGTTGGAATCCGATACAAGAGTAGGCCGTATATGGCGCCGCTGTCCGGGCGTATGTCCGTTTTTATTAGTCCAGTCGGGGCAGAACAGTAGGATGTTAAACCCCATTTCATTTCATTGATCGTTTTCCAAGGTATGTAAATATGAGTACCGCCCCTTCTACTGAGCTTCGCCTTGCATATTGATCACGTAAATGATTAATTTTGGTTCAAGTCTGGACCTTTTTCTGTATGCAAATGACCTCCGTAGTAGATTCCATATAAGGTATGTGTTCTAATATGCTATGTTCTTTTATGCATGGGGGTGGGGATGGCCAAATGGTTAGCACGTGCGCGCTGTATCATGGGGTCTGTCATTGAGTCAACTGCCGTGGTTTCGATTCTCCGGATGGACGTGACAAAAAGTAGGGTCTTCTGTCCAAACTCCGGTATTCTCGCACTACTAAAGACCCCCCCCCTCTCTCTCTCTCTCTCTCTCTCTCTCTCCCTCTTAAGCATTTGTCTATTATGCAAAAAGTGTAATGTGCAAAATAACTATTATACTGTATTTTGTATTATTGAAAAGTGTATTCTGTAATTTAACACTGTGACATTGGTATTGTGAAGCAATTGAAATGTCAAATTGTAAAACTAAAATACGTATTTTGAACTACTGACATACGCAGTTTGCACCGTGAACATTGAAATAATATTGGCAACGTTATCCTTCCATACAATATGGCAGAAGCGAAATGTGCCGAAAAAAAAAACAATTTTTGTAATGGCAGCCAAATCTAATAATAAAAAAGCTTTTATAACCAGAGAGAATCTCGCAAGATGTGACTTTTACTGTGTCTTTTATATGGTTGTCCATGTCTCTGGTAGCAATTCAAAATAGCAGCCAAAATGTAATAACTTGAATTTAGAAAATCCATGATGGTAGAAATTCCAAATTGCCGCCGAAATGAAATCCAAAAAGCGGAATTTTATATATCGTAATAGAATAGTATTTTCTCCATATAACAAGCGAAAATATCGTAAGATGTGACCTTTACTTTAAAGATAAATTTAACCGTCATTCTTTCCCAATGGATATGACTTGTAGCATGTCATTTATGTAGTTGTCGATGTCGCTGGGTTCAAAAATTAATATCGAGAATCCATGAGGCAGACATTCAAAATGGAATCAAAATTATTAGCTTCCGTTGGATATGGCTTGTAATAAATATGTCTTATGCCAGGGTTTTGAGGTTGCTGCATGGGTTCAGTTCTACCCAAAAACCTAGCCAAGATGGTGTAAATTTAAAACGAACGACAATCAAAATGGAATCCAAAATTGCAATTTTTGTTGTTAATAATGCTTGTAAAATAACGTTTTCGGGGTTACTGAACTAAATACATGTATTGTGTTTAAAAGTTAATTTCCGATAAGATTGTCACACATCAAATTTGTGCATAAGCTATAAACACCAGAACATACTATAGAAAGCATAAATTTACAGTCAGTTTTTCAAAAGAAATTTTGCCCTCGGGAGGAAAGAACGAATCCCTCGCGAGGTCAGGTTCAGGAGCCTTTCGGCCCCCGGTCCGTCTCTGGTATCATCTAGATTCCAGACCGGTAGTAAACACGGGTTCATTTCTGTTTGTTATTCATTTCACGACAAGTTCTTGCAATTGCCTCGGTAATACTGTTTTTCGCCAGCAATGCACACTATAAACAATGCATATATGAAACCCAGAAACAGGCTAGTCTTTGCTCCGTGAAGGCAACGACGGGGTTCTCTCCAACCATGCTCGAAATTTCTTTTGAAAAAACTGACTGTAAATGGTGCTTTCTAGAGTATATCTTGGTGTTTTTAGCTTATGCATATATCTTAACAATTCATCAAAAAGGACGTAAATTCATGACTACGCAAGAACATTAACTAGTTTAGGGACCGCTAAAACTACCATACCCCTTTTCAGTCCATCCCTGAACACGGAGGGGAAAGATAGGTTGTTAAAACGTGTTTCAAATTCCCCCATTACTTGATAACTTTAATTATCAGTAAAACTACGCCATATAAAAAATAAGTCGTATATTATTTTACAGTTATGTAAAAAAACCCAAATGTTTCCGTTTTATCAAATGAACAATTTATTGTTAGGTCGTGTAGAAAAATATGGTGTTAAAACGTGTTGCAAATTTCCGTATTAAATGGCAGATCTTAACTTATCATATAAATAACTTATCATATAAATTAATAATTGGTATATTATTTTACAGGTATGAAAAATGTTTCCGTTTTATCCAATGATCAATTTATTGTTAATTCGCGTAGAAAGATAAACGTGTTACAAATTGGTATATTATTTTACAGTTATGTAAAAAAAACCAAATGTTTCCGTTTTATCAAATGAACAATTTATTGTTAGGTCGTGTAGAAAGATATGTTGTTAAACGTGTTACAAATTGGTATATTAGTCGAGTATTTTACAGCTACAATAAAGTTTATGTTTAATTGAAAATTCCAGTAAACAATTCATTTTTAGGTTGAAGGGAGTGTCCTACATGTGGTAGACCATATTTAAATGTTGTTTAATAAATGTGTATTTTCATAAACTTTGTACGAAGATAGATTATTATACGGAAGGTCCGCCTGGATAGAAAATAAGATTTTGTGCGAAACAGGTGTCCTGAAAACAAATAGGTACACTAACATCAAATATCTGGTTCTGCAAATTGTATTCGACCCGTCTCAACTAATTCCTATGCGGAACAAACCTTTCCGTTTCATCGAAAATTCCAATAAAATAATTTATTTTTAGTTCCCGGGGAAAGCGCTACAGGTGGTAGGTCATAGTGTTTAAATGTGTATTATTTTTTTTTTTTTTTTTTTTTTGAAGGAACCTGTGGTTACTATTTTGTCTGTCAATTTTGGACCGATTTGCACGAAATTCGAACTCAACCATCATTACGGTGTAACGGTAATATATTCACGCGTTTTTTTTTTAAATCGGATAATAATTGTGACCTCTAGAGATACCACAAGCTAAAAACCAGATTTTTCGTACAGTCAAAGGTCATAATTCAGGAAGTTACGATCCGATGTGTGCAAATATCGAAAGGAACCAACATCTTTCGGTTATAAACATGTATTTCAAATTTCGTCAAAATCGGATCAAAATTCTGAGCTCTAGAAGGTCCACAACCTTGATATACCATAGTTTTACACTGTTTGCGTTCGAGGGGCGGCCATTTTGTCCGTCAGTTTTGGTCCGATTTTCACGAAATTCGAACTCAACCGTCATTAAGGTGTAACGGTGATATCTTTAAACGGTTTTTTAAATCGGAATAAAATTGTGACCTCTCTAAGGTCCACAAGCTAAAAAAAACGTGATTTTTTTGTACAATCAGGGGCCATAATTCAGGAAGTTACGGTCCGATATCGAATATCGAAAGGAACCAAGATCATTGGGTTATAAACATACATTTCAAATTTCAACAAAATCAGATAAAAATTGTGACCTCTATAGGGTCCACAAGCTAAAAACGCGATTTTTCATACAATCAGGTGCCATAACCCATGAAGTTACGGTCCGATACATGCCACTATCGAAAGGAACTGAGATCTTTAAATTGGGAGATAAACCTATTTTTCAAGTTTCGTTGAAATCGGATAAAAATTGTGACCTGTAAAATGTCCACAAACAATTGTGGACGGATGTCCGGGCGGACGGGTGGACAGGGGCGACGACAATATACGTCCACATGAAAATGTGGGCGTATAAAAATGGCGCACTGCAGAAAAAAAAACATTGACGTAAGCTCTAAGGGGCATGATTATAACTCCATAAAGAAAAGATATCACTGCTCCAAATTCTAAATAAATAAAATCTGAAAATTAATTATAAAACAAAGTTTTTGGAACAGAGACCGCCATATTAAATTATGTTAATTACGTCATTTCGCCTTGGCAGACTTTTTCGGCCGAATTTGAGTATGATGTTGTCTAATATACATGTATGATTGAACCAAACTGCATTGATTTCCTTTGCAATTTGTTTGGGGTCACTCCAAATTTGAGATTAACTTGCCCCACCTATATCTCAATATTCAAAACTTACGCAGGGTCACTTGAACCGCATGCATGCGCCCAATCTGTTTCACAGAGGGTTACGAAAGTATTCTTATATCTCTGTAAAAGATGACTGTCTTCAACACGTGACGTCACACCACGCGGCGCCAATCATTGGCTCAATGGCGCATGCACTGCTTACATAGCAGATCATGACTCTTGCTGGCATTACACAATGGTTTCTCTGGGTTATATTCTTGATTGTTTTCAAATTTGGGAGAAGTCTGTGTCACTACAGACCCGGACTATACAGCGCAGTGGACGCTTACGGCTAGCCCCGGATCCATTCACTTTATTTGAATTGTTCGTTTGTTTGTGATTTCTGCGTATAATGTCTTGCCCACATATTTGTTTTTGTGTAAATTATGTGTGCCCCCCCCCCCCTGCACTTACTATAAGACGTTACTGGTTCGGGCAGAATGGTGCCTTTTACTCATTTTAATACGTGCATTTACACTAAATAGGAAATAATTTTTACCTACAACTACTTCAAACGTCTTTATTTATTTTTCTAATGGATAAAAAAGAAAAAAATGTTTTAGAATTTTACTTATCGGAGGAAAAAAGGTAATATTTTGGCTCATTAAGTCGCATCGATGTCATCCTTATCAGTGATTGTATGGGCCTAGCGAATGTACACTGCTGATTTGTGTGGCATACGCCACATTGGTAATAGTGGGGACAGAAGTGTGGTCTGATCCCTATAGGAATAATTAAGGTTATCTCCCAGTAACCTCGACGTGAGATATAAAGTTCAAGGTCGGAGTATAAAAGAAAAACCGAATTGAATAATTCGACTTCCCTTCAATCGAGTGGAAAGAAAAGAAATTTGAATTATGAGTCTCAACCAAACAATTGGACAGAAATGTCCGATGGTTGTTTTAGCTGGAAATTCTCACCCAGAACTTGCGAATCTTGTGGCAAAGTGAGTATGACATTACAGCAATCACGACACGAATGGTATTATTTTAATATTAATAATAATAACACGATGGTCGCGATGCGTACGTTGCGTTGATTGATTGCATTTTTGGGTTATCAAAATAATAAACAAGTACAAATTATGGTAGACCTAGTGTACAAGTTAAACGGATAATCGAAAACGGCCGCATGCCAACTTGCCCATTACAACTCTGATCTATTAGGAGTCCAGTGTCCTACTCATTTATGATTTAGTTGTGTTGCTAGATTGGGTGCCTTTAGTTCCAAGTGGTAAAGTTAATTTCTTTATTAATGCATGTAACATCTTAAAAATAATATAATTTTATACTCCTAGTGACACAACTATCGCCTGACTTCAAATATTCGTGTTTAAATTAATGAAGCGTTGTTTTATCCGACATAGCCCACACCGTCATACATCTCCTGTTTAAAAATGGCATTCCTAGTAGTAGTAACCGCCGAACGCCTTGATTTTAAATACAATGATTTATAAGCGTTTCAGGTAGGATTATATGCTTAATTGTAGTTGGATGTGGCAGAAATATTATAAATAATAATCAATTGTTTTGATGAAAAATATTGTCAATTTTGCTTACTGAGGTCCGGTGTGATTTGCGTTGGGCTTTGCTATACATGGAACTATATAGCACCATCTCTTATCTGGTAACACAGAGAGTTGAGAGATGAGGTTTGTTATCTGTTGTGTTGCATGTACATTAATCCCAATTTCCTTTACAGCATCAATAAAAACAATGCTCTGGTCGCAGAGTGCATTGAGAGAGTAGGCCTAATAAGTGGGTTAAGAACGTACTGAAAGCTACTGCTTGTTATGGATTTCAGAATTTCTGGGGATTTCATTGATGCTTATAGGGTGGAGGGGGGTATACGTCAATTGTAGTAATAAGAATGCACTGTGAACCTACCACAATCATATACCAAGCGTAAACAAACTCACAAAGCGGCGCGTATTGAGAGCAGGGAATGATTTCTTCAAATCAATTGTATGCATTATAGAACATCCACGATAAGCTCCAGTAATGGCTAGATCTTTGTCGTCTGAGCAGGGACCAGAGATTTGGGCTTAAGGTAGATCATGGTGACACTCTCCCATCCATAACAATTGTCCACTGCGTCGCCCAATCATTCTCATAGACCTTACTGCACTTTGCTTCATGCTTACACATTGAAGTGGGAGGAACAGTGTGATCACATGTGGGTACCGAGATCACACAGCACAGTTAGGGCGCATTGAGAGCGCGCTAATGATCAAAAAGAAAACTGTAAGGACCCAATGTGAGAGTAATAAGCATGTCAAGAACGTACTATAAACTACCTTGTGTCCAGGATTTAAAAATTTTCAGCAATGTTACTTCGCTTTGGTTAAAAATTGCATAGTCTGACAACTGAGTGAGATTCACAATCCACCAAGTACCTCAATCAGACAAATTTACACATGTGACATGAACTGATTTAATAATATATATTGATAATAAAATTATATTTGAACAAATGAGTATAAGTACGAATATAACAACTACAAAAAATAAAATAATATTAGGACAAATTAGTATAAGTACAAATATAAAAATGTTAATTAGAATCAATGTACAAGATTACTCACAGTATTCAGTCAAAATTTTACCAGTATTCGGTTGAAGTCTTTATTGCTCTCGGCTTTGAAGTAGTCCTTTACAGATGTCTTCTTGGCATTGCCGTAGCAATCAGGGGCGTACATAACGATTTTGTTTGGGGGGGTGTTTAGCCAAAATGCGACCGACTGATGCCCATACCCCTACGAGTGACGCAGTCAGGAGCCGAGCACCACAGGTGCGAGTTTTGAGGGGCCATGTGCAGTAGCGGATCTAGATAGGGGTGAGGGGGTCCAAATCTAGGGCGCCACCCCAGCCACAATTCCACCCCACAATGAATGTCAACAAAATACTGGCTATAACATTAAGCGTCCCGGTAGAACATAGGTGGTATTGTATAATTATATAGTTGTTTGCCGATCGTTGTCTCGCTGGAAAGCAGTTTTATTTAAGTTGACATAAAGTTTATGTCATATATGATTGTGCCTATAACACTGAGCAACCTGAGAAAATTTTGAAATATTGAGTCAATATCTTGGCATTTGAGGTCATTGCTTGGAGAAATTCTTGTGGACGAGAGGACCAGAAATGTGAGTCAATTAGACAAAATCTCAAGATCTGCCCCTGTCAATTCCGCCTGTTTTGCAAGAGTTGACAGAACTTTTGTATAGTCTGACGTCCCACGACCCACACAACAGTGCCAGTGGTACTACTAACATAACTAGTCAGTTCAGTATAACCGTGAATATGATAGTGCTGAGACAGTATAAGACAACAGAGGAGTAGAAGAATTGCGGTATAATGGAATCGAGTGCCGCAGGCGCGAAAAAATTTCAGATGTGTAACCGAGCTTTTAATTTTTGGGATTGGGCCTGACAATTTTAATCAATGTCATGGCAAATGGATCCAAATTCTCGTTAACGAGAGGATAAGAAATGGGACAGAATCTTGAGGCCTATCTGTCAATGTCACCTGTTTTGTGAGAGTAGAACTAACTAGTGGTACTACTAACTGGGCGATTCACTGTAACTGTGAATATGATAGTGATGAGATAGTATAAGACAGAGAAGGAGTTGAAGAATGATGGTATAATGGAATTGAGCGCCGATATGTAACTGAGCTTTTAATTTTTGAGGACTGGGCCTGAGGGCACTTTACCTCAATGGGGCGCTTACCTGGTCTCTGAAATGCCCTGGACTTTGGGGAGAGATTTTGCAGAATTCTGATGGTCAGAAAACACCCCATTAATTCATTTAGTCTGAGACCGACTGCGGTGAGCACTTTTTTTTTAGACCGACTATTTCTTTGCCATGGGGTGAAAAACATTTTTTTCAAACATGATAAGTTGACAAGGTTATTTTATACTAAAGTTTTGCGTGAGTAGAGTGACGTATGCAGTGAGCACTTTTTTTGATACCGACTGCTCATATATCTTACAACCGACTGCACTGATTTTGCGACCGACTAGTATTTGGGATCTATTCTGGCATTATTTGTTTACCTCATTAATTCATTAAGACGGCGATGCATAATTTTGAGACCGACTGCAGTGACTGCACTTATTTTGAGACCGACTATTTTTCTACCTGGGGGAAATTTTGTTCTTAGACCTACATACTCACAACAGAATAAGAGTTAAACACATCATTTTTTCAAACATGATAAGTTGACAAGGTTATTTTACACTAAAGTTTTGTGTCAGTAGCGTAACGTGTGCAGTGAGCACTTATTTTGATACCGACTGCTCTTATTTTGCGACCGACTGCACTGATTTTGCGACCGACTATTTTTTTTCTGGGGTGGTACCCCCATATTTACGCCCCTGGTAGCAATTCCAAAGTTGGCAGAATTAAACAGGATCTTGATGATCCAAAACTGACCGGATGAATAATCCTTGAATCGGTATAATCCGACATGGTAATAATCCACAATTCTTATTTATTATCACAGGAGACTTGGTGTAAGATGTGGAGATATGTCAGCTTATCATAAAGAAAATAGAGGTAATAGTCTACATTTTTGTTAATGCAGCAAACCCATGGTCGTCTTTTGAAGGATTTTTAATCCATTTCAAACCCCAGTGTTTTGATAGTGTAATATCTAAAAGGAATATCAGTTCAAAATTTCTGTTCAGCAATGATATGAAGATTCAAAATTGTGCAGAATTATTCTATTTCCTCTACATATACAATATAAACAAAATTTTCAACTGTTACTTGATACTGCTGGTGGATATTTGCTATGTTTATTCCTCCTGTTCATAAGAAATATAAACAATGTAAAAACTTTACCATAGCACTAATAACAGCTTACTTTTCTAACTAGATATTAACTCAAAACAAAGGAAACAGAGTTTAATGAAGACCCGCATATGACATGCAGCTTGCTATGAGGGATATTTTGCCTGGACAGCACAGCAGCATTTCCGCCTACTCTTCATTGAATTCCAAGTACAAAGTCTCTTTTATCTGCATGGCAACATGTACATGTACAAGGCACCTCAATTTTTGGTTCCCAAGCCTTTCGTACTTCACCACTGAAAAGAGCCCTCATCCAATACCTGGGTCAAAAATGGATCATTACTTGTGAAAGTTGAATCTCTCAATAGAAAATGTATTAACATTTGGCAACCTATCCTATGCAGAAGAAATTAATGGAATATGGTCAAAACAAGCCAGAGCCACCAATAGTCTTCGCTAAAATTCTTTGATGGGCTTCTTTTTACTAATTTTTAATCGATTTAAATCCAAACCGGGTTATTATATACTGGTGATATTTTGATTTCTTAATTAAATGAAAAATAATCAGTTTGGGTGCATTTTGCGTGTATTAACCAGTAAAGAATTCTTTTTCTTTTTTTTTTTCGATCTAAAGTTCTTGTTGATTATTTTTAGAGACAGTTGTAGAGATCAAGGAATCGGTACGAGGGAAAGATATTTACATCATTCAGACAGGCACTAAGTAAGTACAGTTATACTGTTAGAATCTAATTGTCACCTATGCACCATCTTTATTTCATCAGTGGTTAAGGAAGATGTGCATACGCCATGCAGTGTGCTATGAAGGAAATTTTTGCCCGTATAGCATTAGCAGCGTTTCCACCTCCTCTTGTACATTGTACACAGAACCTTGGTTTTTCAACTTATCCGAAAAAGTTAATATTCTGCTCCTTAATAATATTAGAGAAAACTGCACCACTTAGAGCAACAAGCAAACACAGAGAATTAATGATATTTTGATATAATATTTATGGAAGTATAACGTTGCCAACAGTCTGAAGATAGACAAAGTTTCAAAATACATTTTTCAATGTTTCAAAATACTAATGTCCTAGCGTAAACATGCAAAGTATACTTTTTAAAACACAAAGTACATTTGTTGAGCTCTTACATTCTGAAGAATGAAACAACTTTGAATTAGCTACTTTACATTTTACATTTTTTCCGTACATAAATCATCACGTGACCGTTCCATATAAGGTAAATGTTCGACGATGCAAAGTCGCAGATATGTAGGTCGACAATGCAAAGTGAATAATGCAACGTGTAAAATGTAAAGTAGCTAATTCAAAGTTGTTTCATTCTTCAGAATGTAAGAGCTTAACAAATGTACTTTGTATTTTAAAAAGTATACTTTGCATTTTTACGCTAGGACATTAGTATTTTGAAACATTGAAAAATGTATTTTGAAACGTTGTCTATCTTCAGACTTTTGGCAACGTTATACTTCCATAAATATTGACTTACTATCTTACAGTGTTAATTTTATGTTAAATTACTGCCATTTGAGAAATGTTGCTTCCAATAGTCTGTGTCTCACCCTGTGTAATTAAAACTAGGTGTGTTTTTGTTCTTTGTATTCTATTGGTAAATCCATCAGAAAAACATGCTCTTGGTATCACATGTAAACAGCTAAAAAATTCCTATGGCAGTTTTCTGTATCATGGCATTTGATTGGAAGGTTGATCTGGAGTTAACCAATTATGACCTGTACATAACTAATGTTTAAATGAAGATGGAAATGAATAAACAGACAAGAAAGAAAACAGTGTATATAAGTTAGTTTATGCCTCCAAATTAAGGATATTGCAGACAAGGAGTGTCATAACTAATGCAAGATCTGACAAAGTTCTCATGTTTAATGTAATGATTGTGAACATGAAATGAACTAATTGTTATTTACAGAGAGATAAATAATGATGTAATGGAGATGATGATTATAGCGTATGCATGTAAAACAAGTTGTGCACGTAATATAGTGGGCGTTATTCCATATTTACCGTATTCTAAACAAAGTAAGATGAGAAAACGGGGTGCTATTGTTTGTAAACTGTTAGCTACCATGATGGGACAATCAGGTAAGGTATTTATTTTGTTTCAACTATTTGTCAGGACTGTAAAACATGAAGAAATTGATGCACTTTTGATGTCTTGCCTCCAGCCACAGTATTGATTACAAAAAAGTTATGAGACTATAACTCCCAAAATTTCCAACCAAACTGTCCAGAATCAGCTCTGCACATAGCTTGAAAAAAGATGTTACCTGGTATCATGGTAACAGTTACCATACTGCAAAATTAGGCGATATGTCTTTCCTTTTCTGACTTATAATGGCCATTTAACAAGATTTAGCGTGTGCACGACATCATGCATGATAAAAAGTCACTTTCCATATTATGGAGTCCATGCCCATTTTAGATGGTGATAGTATTTGGTTATACTATAGTAAACAAATCCTAGTAAAGAAAGCAGGCTATGTGACGTGATATCTGGCGAGATTTCACCTGGGTGATGTCATGGTGTCCTGTAGATCATTAGAAATATCGCTTCATAAATATAAAACAATTTTCTTTGTGATAAGTAAAAGTTATTAAACACTATTTTAATTTTCTATATTTCAGGTTTTACACATATTATTACCATGGATCTACATCAAAAAGAGATTCAAGCTTTCTTCAACGTTCCTGTAGATAACTTACGAGCTTCACCATTTCTTATTGATTATATCAAAGAATCAGTAAATATTTTAAAACATTTTAAAACTTAGATAAGATTGTATGTATCTTGAAGATTTTATATTTGAGCAATATAGCCCTGTTAGCCGAGTCCAGCCCTATGTAATTTTTTAATTTGCATACCTTTAATCTGTCATTTTCAAATACTTTAGATTCCAGATTATAGAAATGCTGTTATTGTGGCTCGAAATCCAAACTCTGTGAAACGTGTTACATCTTATGCTGAAAGATTGAGATTAGGTATAGCTGTTATTCATGGTGAAGAAAAGGTTTCAGAACAAGAAGAAGATGATGGTAGGAATTCTCCCCCTCTAGTCGACAGTATCAGTGGTAGAACTAAACAGTGTGGTTTAGAAATGTTACCAGGTGAGTAGGCAGTTGAACCGATCAAATTGACTCAAAATCTTTCACCAGGGGAGCTACAGAGGTCTCAGCTTTGCTCCTGGTGTTGCCCGAGAAAGTTCCTCTTAATTTTTCAACGTGGATTCCCATCGTCAGTGCTGCAGTGTCTAGTCATTCACATGGAACATAAAACTGAGGTCCTGCGTATATATTGGCGCACACATTGTTAATATTTATCTGTGTTTATGTATTGCTTATGATGTAATGTGAATCATTTATGTCTATGATGTTATGGGTGTTAATTGGGTGAGCATGTGCCGTGGGCTCTATGAGAGTGACCAGAAGGTGCGAGTGGATAGGCAGGTTGTTGATGTAATATCAAAAGGAATAAATTGGTTATAATTAACACTAATATTGTGGTTTTAACACACATAAAAATTAACACAGTTGGAATTCGAAGTAAGAGTGTTGCTGTCCAGGCAAAATTCCTCACTATTGACCCTCTTGAGTCTACGGATGTCAAAACGGCATAATGTCATCATCCACAGATCGTGAAGTTCTAGTATGTACAAAACTGATATTAATGATGAATGCTATATTTTTGTTTTGTTTTAGTGATGCATGCAAAGGAGAAGCCACCTATAAATGTTGTGGGAGATGTCGGAGGTAGAATAGCCATTATAGTTGATGATATGATAGATGATGTTGATTCATTCGTTAAAATAGCAGATGCATTAAAAGAAAGAGGAGCGTATAAAATCTATGTTATGGCTACACATGGTTTATTGTCTTCAGATGCTCCCAGATTATTAGAGAACTCCTGTATAGATGAGGTTGGTATTAAATGACGGTAGTCCTAGTTTAAAGTTGATTGTGTAAGATTGAGATTACAAGCTGGTCGTTCTTGCTATATTAGTTAAGAAAATAGATAATGAAATATGAATATATTGAAAATTTCAGTCAAATTACTTTATTCTAAACAAAGTTATGGGTGGATAATTGCCCAATCAATAATGATGATTATAACATTTGAAGCCAAAAAGAAAGATCCGCAATAAGAATATATAGCTCTTACATAATGCATCTTTAATGTACAAATTCCAAATAACCCTTGGAACACTGTTGGCATGACCAACATTTGAAACACTGTTGGCATGACAAGCTTTCGGAACTCTGTTGGCTTGACCCTAACCTTTGGAACACTGTTGACATGACCCTAACCTTTAGAACATTGCTGTCATGACAAACATTTGGAACACTGTGCATTAGTAGCTGAAGCTAGTGAGGGATGGATGTAAACCAATGGTGCTATTTTGCATACATTTTTATACACCCACATTTTGATGTGGAGGTATACATATTAGAAATACCCTTCAGTCTGACCAGATTTCTTGTCAGTGTAATGGTACAGTTTTCATCAAATTTTTCTTTATGGAAACTTGTAATATGAAAAGGCGATGAGCTATATGTTATCATCGGAAGTAGGATTAATATTTATGGAGTAATGCTCCATTTTTGCAGAAAACTATTCACACTTTTAGTCAGTGCAATATAGGCTAAATTTTTTATCCTATTTTTCTAAAACTTTCAGGAAACGTGATTATGGCAAGGATCACTATTTAATAGCACCCACCTTTCACTATAGCGGAATCGAGTTGAATATAACCTTTTGTAATTAGCTGTATTCCATCTATTTCAGATTGTTGTCACTAACACTGTACCTCATCAAGCTCAGAAACTTCAGTGTCATAAAATTAAAACTGTTGATATTAGTATTATGTTGGTGGAGGCCATCCGGAGAATTCATCATCACGAATCCATGTCTTATTTATTCCGTAATATTGGTGTTGATGATTAGAATGATGATGGTAGTTGTGAGAATGTTGTGTTAAAGTATATGAATGATGTTGAAAGTTATATTCGTATTTACATGAAAGGATGGATGTTTGTTATCCATTCCTGAGGGAAACGCAAACGCTTCTTGGTTTGTCCTAATTAAACAAAAATGGTGTGGGTTTAATTATCTATGTTATGCTTCGGTTGTCTCAAGTTTTTGTTTTAGGACTCTATAAGTGGAACAATGAAAAACTAATTACAAGGATGCTTGTCTTTCAAAACATTTTGTTTTGGCATTTAAAGTATTATAAACTTCGACTACCTGGGAATACAGTTTTTGACCCTGGGTAGTATCATTGCTCCAAAGCATTTATTGTTTTTCAAATACATAATTTGCATTTAAGTATTTTTATGGGCTTCATTTAACCTTAGAGTTAATCATTTCTAAACATTCTTACATTCATTAATGATTAGGCTCCCTTTGAAATATATGTTTATAATTTAAAAGTGATACTCTTTATATTTTTGAGCGGGGGGTCAATTGTTTTTTCTAACAAACTTTAGACATGTTTTTTCTTTTAGTACTTACCTTTTGTATGATTTTGCATTGTATACCAAAGATTATATTTAATCGGGAAATTGAAATTAAGAAAGAAGGAATTTAAAATATTACAAGTCATATTACAAGTCACAATGATATTAATTGACAAATTGTAAATAACATTTGATACACTGTTCTTGTTGTGTGTTATGGAATCTTTACAAAAATAGTTGAGATGGGTGATTTTTGACCATTACACTGATAGATTTCAGATGTTTAGTACAGTACTTATAAGCAATAAAGGATGCCATATAATTCTTTACTCAGTAAGGGGTCGAAAAAGTTCCCTAGGATTGAGAGCCAAAAACCGCTGTCCTATGTAGAGGTTGGTGTGGATGTAAAACAAACCTTGGCAGTTGGAATTACATGTTGAGTTAGCAGAAATGCCACTGCCCAGGTAAAAATTTCCCTTATAACACGCTGCATGGCGTATGTCCATCCTTATTTGCCTGGTTGGTGCAGAAAAGTAGGACATTAAACCCTCTTTTATTTCAAAGGTGTCTGTTGGAATTTATACAAACAGAAAATTCATAGTTTTGTTAAGATGTTTTGTTTTTGTTTTATTAACTATTGTTGTTAGTCCAATGTTGTTATTGTTTAAATCAAATTAAACTAAAAGTTTGAATGTATGCCAAAGAAAAAAAATGAATTAGTTTTTTGTTTTTAGATATTGAAGTTAAACAGGAAATAGAAGGAAGTACTGTTGTACTATGAATTGTTCAGTCTGTAAATAACAGATGAAATGATTTTGTTTATAAAATTGGGGAATATATATTATAATTATGTAAGCAATATTGTATGTTACTTTATTACCCATGTTGTCTCATGTTAATGAAATCCATACTGTACATTTATTATTACTGCACTCTGTCATCAAATCTAATACAAATCCTGAAGAGGTCCAAAAACCAGACTTTAGAGGTTCAATTAATATTTTTTATTATTCTCAAAAAGGACTTTTTGCAACACAAATAGCCTTATGCTGTCTTGTTGAGAATGATTATGAACACTACATGAATTGATCTGATTGTGTCCTGACTACAGATATTTATTTTCTATTCTAACTACAGTTTCTATTTAACAATTTTACAGAATATAAAAAGATACCAGTATTTTGTAAGACATGAGAGAAACTTGATTCTCGTATTTTTCCATAATAAACTTGATGTGGTCACTCTGTAGTTATTTTTTTTATTGTCCCCCCACCTTTCGAAGAAAGCAGGGGACTATCAAAATGGGTCTGTCTTGTCCGTCACACTTTTTGGGACACAATAGAATTTCAAACTTGGTGTAGGTGTTCATTAGATCAACACTTTCCTGCTTAGTGTCAACAGAGATAAGCAGTTTGATCGGTTGATGCTTTGGGACTCGATAACTTTGGTTATAATTAAGAGTCATGAAACTTGGTGTATAGTTTGATTACATCAATACCTTGACTAAATTCGATAATGAGCAATTTCGGCTCTGGGTAAGCAGAGCGATAAGCAATTTGATTGGTCATGTCTTTGGAGCTCAAAAACTTTGATTCTAATTGTGTGATAGTGGTGAAACTTCATGTATAGTTTCATTACATCAATAACTTAACAAAGTTCGATGCTGAACATTTTCTGCTGAGGCAAAGTAGAGACTTCAATCTGATTGGTCTTCTATTTGAGGTAGACTGTTCAAACTTGGTGTAGGTTACTATTAGGTGAATGCTTTGACAGTTTGATCATGCACATGTGCCACTAAGGCTAAGCAGAGATAAGCAATTTGAGTGGTTGAGATTTTGGAAAACGATAACGTTGGTTCTAACTGGGTGAGACCGATGAAACTCTGAGTATAGATTCATTATATCAATACCTTGACTAAGTTCGATGATGAGAATTTTCTGCTTAGGCTAAGGAGCGATAAGCAATTTTATTGATGACTCTGGTACATAACTCTTGATGGAGATTTAGGTGAATGTCTTAACTAAGTACAATGATGAACATTTCCCGCTAAAGCTAAGCAGAGATAAGCATTTTCATTGGTCGATGCTTTGGGACAAGATAATTTTGATACTAACTAATGGAGAGTGATGAAACTTAGTGTTGGTTTGACTGCTCGATACTTTTGAAAAAGATAAATGTGCAATCAATTAATATGTGTCATCTATTTAATTTGGGATTTCGACGGGGGACATCAGCCTCACTGATGGCTTGTTTGGGGTTTTTTTAAATCGAAAGTTTTGCAGAGTTATCCAGCAAAAAATAAATTTTCTTGCATTCATCAATATTGTGGGGTTAGATACAGTGTTGCTGGGATTGCTGTTGGTAGGACTGAATTTGTTTGGAAATGCTGAACGGAAACCTTGGAAAGAAATGGGTTGTTGATTGGCTAAAGTACAAGTACAAATATAAAAATCTTTTGTTACTTATCATAGTCCAACTCATTTCTTTGCCTGGATGAATGCAGCCTTTTCAAATTGTCTGTGTAAATATGTGTCCATATTTGATGTACCTACATTAAAGATACATTATGGGAGATTCGATAACGAGTTGGCAGTTTTCACTATAATAGTTAAAAACTAGATAATGTAAAGGCAATTTGCTGAAAATTTCATTCAAATTGATCCACTATGAACCGAAAACTAAGCGAATGAAATTTCTGCCCTGCCTCGGTCATCATTACTAAAGTCAGTACGATAAACAGCATAGTCTCGATTATCCATTTAATCGAGAAGGAAAGTTATGAAGTAAATCGGCTCACAATCCACTTAAGATCGCAGGCTAGCAATGCCATCTAGAGTTGATTATGGCCTGGATAAGTTAATTAATGTCTAATTAATAATTTAGATAACATTTCAGGCCTAAAGAAAGACCTACGATAGACAGATTTAGCTTGTTTGGGTTTTTTTTAAATCGAAAGTTTTGCAGAGTTATCCAGCAAAAAATAAATTTTCTTGCATTCATCAATATTGTGGGGTTAGATACAGTGTTGCTGGGATTGCTGTTGGTAGGACTGAATTTGTTTGGAAATGCTGAACGGAAACCTTGGAAAGAAATGGGTTGTTGATTGGCTAAAGTACAAGTACAAATATAAAAATCTTTTGTTACTTATCATAGTCCAACTCATTTCTTTGCCTGGATGAATGCAGCCTTTTCAAATTGTCTGTGTAAATATGTGTCCATATTTGATGTACCTACATTAAAGATACATTATGGGAGATTCGATAACGAGTTGGCAGTTTTCACTATAATAGTTAAAAACTAGATAATGTAAAGGCAATTTGCTGAAAATTTCATTCAAATTGATCCACTATGAACCGAAAACTAAGCGAATGAAATTTCTGCCCTGCCTCGGTCATCATTACTAAAGTCAGTACGATAAACAGCATAGTCTCGATTATCCATTTAATCGAGAAGGAAAGTTATGAAGTAAATCGGCTCACAATCCACTTAAGATCGCAGGCTAGCAATGCCATCTAGAGTTGATTATGGCCTGGATAAGTTAATTAATGTCTAATTAATAATTTAGATAACATTTCAGGCCTAAAGAAAGACCTACGATAGACAGATTTAGCTCTTGCATAATGTATGTTTAAATTGTCAATTTATGAGATAAACAACTTTGTATTCACATATTTGCTTCTTTTAAATAACATATTAATTTACACTCATAAAACATCTGAACAAAAAATAGAATATATATGAATGACACCAGTTTTAAGTCCAAGATAAAGTAAAGTCTGATTTGACTGGCAAATGCTAGTAGATGTAACATCCGATCTTAATAAACTGGCCAATAGTTCTCCAGAAGACATATCCCATAAACCTGTGTTACCATGGATATCAACAGCTATTTGCATATCAGCTAATGTATCAACACTGTTTAACCTGTAACAGGAATTTTAAATATATACGAAGGAGTTGTTTACACTATAGAGTGACCAATTAATTAATTACTATCATCTCAGGCAGCTAAAAAAATATATGTAATAAATTTAAAATAACATATGCAAAATCACATTAGACATAGTTCTTTATCAATAATCTAAGCAGTGATCTATTTGAATTATGGTATGTTTCACAAGCATTCTACTATAAAAACTACATGACTCTTAAATTGAAAATTAGACAGTTTATTTAACACTTACTTTTTTGTTCATTCATCTCTTATCATTGTGTAAGTAGTAATAAAACCCAATAAACTTTCATCTCTTATCATTGTGTAAGTAGTAATAAAACCCAATAAACTTTCTATCTTAAAATGAAAAAGTCTAATTTTGACTTCAGTGTTAATCACAATGTACTTACCCTTTCCATGAATACTGTAGTGATTGATAATCTTGAAGAATTAGGCAGATATCATTTATAGGATTGACTATCATTAAATAACCTGGAGAACTGTTCTTTACACGATTCATTAGATGAAACAATAAATAACCCTAAAATATACACAATGTTTTCAGATTATCTCCCCTTGATGTGTCAAGGGAGATAATTTTGAAAAGTAGTTGAATGAAGTGTTTTTGAACAGCATTTTCTACTTTGCAAACCAGAATAAACTGTCCAATTTGTAAAATACTGATTATTATAGAAAGTAAAATTATAGAAGATATTGCAGATATAAATGGCATATCAAGTACTAAATGGTTAAGTTGAATAGATTTAGTTCTTCTATAGTTAAAGACTTGACTAAATGTCCCCTTTTATGTCATCTTGAACTCAAAGAGACCTGCTACTACACAGAAAATACAGCTTAGTTTTCGAATGATAGTTTCATAGGACCTTTATAGTAAATAATACATGATTAATGATTTCACTTAATTCATAATACATACTTGAATATTTTGTAGAGATGTTAGAGAAACACCCGGTGATAATACACAACTTAAATTAATCTTCTTTAAAATAAAACCTTCTTCATGGTTCCTAAAATAAAACATCATTTATTATAACACAGAGGGTAACTTATATCTTGTATCTTGTAAGGACCTTTGTGATTCATTATGTGAAATACAAAGTCAAATAATTTTGTGATTTATTATGTGAAATACAAAGTCAAATAATTTTGCTCAAATAAGCCCTGTAGCATTTAGCATATTTAAACATTGACCGATCCAATACCTGGAAAGAAATTGAGATAAAAGTAATATTGTTACAGAGCAGCATATCCTTGGACAGCCCAAAAACCTGATGAAACTACTGTTCCCTAGAACACCTCAAATCGCCTGTGAAGAGCTCTCTGTATTGTAGGAATGCAGTACAAGGGTTATAGAAAGTCTTCAAAATGCAATGTATTTTCTAAAGGGTTAAAGAAAGTACTATGGCAATGTTTATTAAAAAAGTGCTTCTGTAAGGACAGAATAAAGGCTTTATTGAGTCTTGGTATTCCATATAATGGCCTGACTACTGTAAATTATCAGACATTCAATATATTTTCTATAGAAGATGAATTTCTTGGTATGACATGTTTTCAATCATTTTTGTTTTGTTTTGTTTCTCCCCATTTCTTTTTATGATACAATACTCTGTTGGTAAATCTACTTTAATATTAGGTGAGATGGGGGTGGGGATATCTCTCGATCCCATTGTACTGTAGTTAAAATAAATTTAACTCTTAGAGACAAACATGTGCAATTATAAAAATTTCAGATATACAGTAAAATATATACACCACCCAATACATACCAAATAACAGCTTCTCTATCAGCCGTTAAACCAACAACACACGCATCAATGTGTAGAACTTGTTGAACATCCAACAAATATCCTGTATTACTCTCCAAATGACAACATACTGTTAGTTGTTTAAAGCCATCTATTAGAAAATATTTATCAGCTGAGTGAGTTGTTGGATGATTAAAGCCAATAATAACCTCATCAGTCTCTAGTATACAACACAATAAACTTGTTACAGGGCTAAAAGAAAAATAACACAGAAAATCCAAAATGTCAATTACATAAAATCAACATGACAAAATGCATCTTAGTCTCGCAAAAAACACTGTGGCAATTGATGTTGGATGTTCATAACTTGTACATACATGTAAGACACCAAAATGTATAAACAGAGAGAAAAGAACAAACAGGCAGTCCTGCTTCAGCATTTATAAAATTATATGTAGAAATGATTTTATTTACATTATCTTATGACATGTATGTACACCCCTGTAGAGGTAGCCATGGTGGCTCAGTGCATAAGACACTGGCTCACTAACCAGAAAGTCCCAGATTCGATCACGTTGTTGTCTGCGAAAGTAACTCCAGGATTTTCGAGGATGGCAGAATCTAATTGGTTGAGGTAATATTTATAAATTATACCGACTGATGTCCGAGGTAAGTTTAGGTTAATTGTAAACATAGGAAAAGATCAAAATATCTCAAGTAAAAAAAAATTAGATTTATGCTATTGTGCGACAGATCCATAATTATAAGTCCACATAGAAAAACAAACATTTAAAACATGAAAAAACTATCAGTCAATTAAAACTAATCAATTTGGTACTGAATGAACCAGCTCCAATTTTCAGAAACTAAGAATCAATAAGATACACACCAATCTAAGTCTTGTTTTAACTTTATGGGAGACATATTAGATTCCCCAGAAGTTAGATCATAGAAAAATAAAGATAATCTTTGATCTCCTTCTTTATCTTCTTCCATTATTACCATGACAACCTTATTCTGTTTCTTAATACACCAACCATTAGTAGCTTGATAACTCTATAATAAAATAGTATTACACTAAACTAATACATGAATTAAAGTTGTATACTAGACTACACACTATCATTACTGGCATTTCATTTATTTCAGACTTGATATATGAAACGAAACAGGATTCAATGTCCTACTTTCCTGCCACAACCGAGCTAATGAAGACGGGCATATACATTTACCATACAGTGTACTATAAGGAAAGTTTTGTCTGAACAGCAAACACTTCAGGTCTACTCTTCTCTAAATTCCAACTGTAAAGGGTCTTTTATGTGCAGGCCCTGATTACACAGGGAGAGTCCGTTTTTCGTCCATTAGAACAACTGATAAGGTGGTCGTACAAACCTAGGTACATGTATGCCTAATTTTGTTAGAAACTTACACATGAAAGAAACCAATCTAGTTCATTCTCCCAATCACCATCACCTTTAGTCCATAAACTGATAGCTGATGGTAAAATACTAATGATATACTGTTGTTCTTCTCCATTCATTATCCATCTTCCACTATTAATATATACTACTGGTTCTCTTCGACATAACTACAAATAACCATGCAGATTGTTCAAGCAAAATTGAACACAAATTCATCAAAACCATGTCCAAATCTATTAGTTTTAACTGATATCAAATCAATTCAATGGAAATGAATTCATAAAGACTAAAAAAAAACTGTTTGAAAAATGACTGTGTTTACTGTTTACCCACAACAGTATCCTTTTGCTTAGTATGTTTACTAACAATAGAATATATTAATTGAACCATGTTTTAAATAGATAATTTAGTGTACTTATACTTTAATCCATCATTCACATATGGGATAAGTATCCATTTAATATCAGAAGGGCTTTTTAATGAGTATTAATTTTAGTCAAAAACAAAACAGAAAAGAATAGCAAGTATTTATTTACCTTGATGCATTCTATTGGTTCAATATTCTTATTGTCACATGTATCATCAGACCGGATAGGTGTGTCTATACTTAATACACTATCATCCAGTAACTTCTCAACACCAAGTGAGTCTTTAATAGGGGTTGTCTCTTTCTGTGACTTGAATAAAGGAGGAGTTCCTTCATCATTTGGGAAATTGAAACATTTTCTAAAATTAGCATCTTTTGGTGTTGTAAATGGATCGGATTCTAAAGTTGAAATGTTAGAAACTTTAGGTGTTGAGGTGGCACAATTTAAATGAGATATCAAGCTCTTCTTTCTGTTTTTTAAATCAGATATTTTTGGTGTGGCTACAGAATTCCCCACATTCAATGCTTGATTATTTCCTGTTCTAGTATTTTCCTCCGATACTTCATCAAGATTATTACAGTTAAATTCTATGAAATCATTTGAAGTGTCCTCTATTTTCTCACTAAGCAATCTCTTTTCATTATTAATTTCATCAACCATTTCCGATGAATCAGAAATTACCTTTGATACATTTTGGACACCATTCCTCAAGTATACAGGATTTATATCCGTTGTCACTTTGTCCACATCTGACATGATAGTTTTCAAGGAAGTGTTTTTCTTGAACAATGGAGTTTTCTCCAAAGGATTTTCATTTTTCAAAGCTTTTGGGTACTGCATATTATCATCAATATTTTCCACGATTGGTTTATCAGTATCACTTTCTGATATTACAGAGACATCTATTTTCCCTGATTCCATGGAAATGTTCCCAAGGTTATGTTTTGTTTCAAATGAATTTACGTTCACAGACTTCTTGGATTTCTTAACATCAGAAACCACAGATTTATCATTTTCGGTTTCAGAGATCACAGAGACATCAAAATCCTGTGATTCCATTGCATCATGTCTATGGTAACATTTTGGTTCACTTAAAGAGTCATCTTCTATGATTGGTTCTGAATCATAAACTACATCAACATCCAGAAATGAAGTAGGGCTAACTTTTGAATTGAATGCTTGAACATTTCCCGATTTGCATGTTTTGACTGTTGTCTCTTGTGGTTCTTTCAATTCAGATTTTGATTCAGAATTTATGAATCCTGAAGAGGCTTTCATCTGAGACACTCGGCCAACTGAATCAAAGTCTTCTAAATTCTTTGTTTTGGGTTCTGCTGATGCCCTTTCCGAATTCTTTATTGCTATGAATTTCATGAAAACATTCTCTGGTAAACTAAATTCACTTTCACTCTTATTTCTCTTAACCTCATCAACCAGAAATTGAAAAACGGATGAAATTTTAAGACATTTTTCTTTCTTTGTTAATCTTGAGGACTTTTCAGAATAACCCTCTGACAATTGTGAAATGAGTGACGAAGAAGCAGAAAAAACTCGGGGAGATCTTCGCTGAATAATTTTGCCGAGGTGACTCTTTCTTCTTTTCCTAGGATTACCATCGCTTGAAGCAGACATTTGACTGGATAGGAATTCTTCTGAAAACTTAAACTGTGAAAACTCGACTATATCTAGTTCAGTAAATTGTGAATACTCTATGAATTGTCTGTCATTATGTTTATTTGACTGGTTATTTTTCAAAGAGATGGTTTTATCTTCATCTAAATTTCTCTCTTCTCGAATTTCATCAACACTGTCAACATGTTCACTAACCTCTGAATCTTGTACGCTCTGTATCTCCTTTAAGCTCTTCTTTTGATCACTAACTTCAGAATTTGAAATCGTCCTTGTCTGACTTTTTGAATTTATCACATTCTCAAGATTATCCGATATAGAAGTAGCTCCATTCTCTTGCCTTTTTTTATTATCTGTGGTATTGCCATCCATTCCTTCCCAAGAAGATAAATAATTTTGACTTTCAGATTTGCTGGGATGTCTGGTTAATGTATCCCCTTGCAGGGCACTTGTAACACACAATGATCTCTTCTTGGGCTTTTCTTCTAATTTAATTCGTTTCATATCCGATTCTTGAGAACTATCACAACTATTAATTGAAGTTCTATTAAAACTTCTTTTTCTATTTTTGAACTTTCTTCTCTTCAATGACAACATATCTCCATCCTCAGTTTCAGTAAGAGAAGTGGAATTCTGAGAATATGTGTCCTGTTTACATCCATTTTCATTTTTATGTGATGGCATTTTGGTGATTCCTTGTTGTTCTACATGTGACTCAGTATAAGGATTTTTAGAGCAGAAGAGAGGTGTTCTCATTGACTGTAAATGACGTGGTTTGTTTGACAGACTATCTTGTGATACTGCTTGTAGACTAAATTCACTATCACTTTGACTTCTATTGAGAACATCTACTATACATTGAAATTGTTTTTCAGGCGAGATTTCTGATTTGGAAATTGCTATTTGACCAAAGTTATTTTTTGTATCTATTTTAGATTTGAAATTTGCAGTGGATAAATTTTTGACTATGGGAGAACTTTTGCTGTCTTTGTTTTTATCAGAATTTGTAGTAGACCAATATGGTTTCTGTGGTTTGATCTTCACTTCTTCATCCTCATCACCAGATGATATTTCAATAGTCTTATTATCAGAGCCATTTGTAGGAGTGTTTGTATTTCTGTCAATTAGAATCGACACTGACTTTTGAGAATCAGTATCTGAAAGCTCTTCTTGAGAGGAATTCAAAAATGAGCTTTCATTTGCTGTTTTTAATTCCAGTGGTGGTTCTTTATTACAACTTATATTTTCTTGATTCTTAAGTAATGTAATTTTATTGTGATTTACTTTTCTTTGCTGAGAAGAACAGTCTTCATTATCCTTTTCTTTTTTGTAATGATGGGCTGGTAACTGATCTTCCCCTTCCATAAGAGATTTAGAACTTTTGTCAAATTTTCTGTCTTGACTTTCATAGATCAGTTTCTCTTTCTCCTGGCTTTTAACTTTCAATGATTTTCTGTCAACAGCATTTGAGATGCAATTTTTCAGTCTTTTTTCACTATCATGCTTTGATTTGGACTGATTTATGGCTTCTTTCGTGCTAGATTTTGATTGGCTTATTAACACTAACTCGTCAGAAGTAGAAGTCTCATGTCTAAATATTTTATCACCTAAAACAGAATCTGACTTCTCGGACAAAGACAATGAATTCACTGAAGGATTATCAACAAACCGCCTTCCATGATTTACTTCATTAAAATGCTCACCTAAAATACTATCCCCATCAGGATAATTGGGTTGTCTCCCCTGAGTCTCCAAGTTAAATGTGGGAGTAAAACTTAACGAATCATTTAACAACAAACTATGTGATTGGTTGATAATTGTTTTACTATTACAAGAGTTGTTAACCTCAATTTGATCTGCTGATAAACATTTTTCATGAGAAGTTTGGCTTTTCTTACTTCGCAATTTAACAGTATCTTTATCATTTGAAAGGGGTGTAATATGACTTAGTTTCAAAAGTGGTGATGTACTGTCTGTAAAACTATGAATTAACTTTCTTGGTATTTGTGAGTTACCTGGAGTTACATGTTTATGAGGTGATCGATGTGAATGTTTTACATTGAACACAGATTTATCAGATGATTTTCCTTCTTTTGAAGGATCAAGGGTTCTTTGACCATGCCTAGGTGTTGATTTTTCATCTCTTAAAGGAAAAGAAGTTTTGGTTTTGTGTACAGAATTGGTTATAAGAGTTACATTTCCTTGAATTGAGCAGCCATATAGTTTTTCCGATCGAGAATCTTGAGCAGACACTTTGAGATTTGTAGGTTTCTTCCTTGATAAACTAGTCTCATGAGTCTTCTCTGATTGAAGGGAAATATTTTGTCGCTCTTCTTCTCTTGCAGAAATCAGGGCTTGTTCTTTTATTTTTTTCCTCACATGTTCCCTCACTCTGTTGGCTCGTAAACTTCTCTGAAAACATATATATATACACTTATTATTCAAATGATTGTCAAGTACTGACTTTTGTATGAGAATGAATGTTGTTAATTCAATAACAAAAATATCTTGCACAGGTTTCTTCTTAAATTTGTCAGGTAGGGTGGCATGGCTAAAGTCCAGTTTTTAATCATTTTGATAGGACAGCCTTTAACCTTTAAACTATCAAGTATCGCAAATATTTAGCTGCCTATAAACTAGGTTCCTGTGACAAAGATGACCGACGTCTGGATATAAATAAGTGAAGGACATATAAAGTCAACAGCAAAAATATTTTGCAGGGGTTACATGAGCTAAATTGCTATTCTTTGGCACCTAGACATGGACACAAATGGGTCGCAACACATATAATAATGTAATATGAATTTATAAAAACTGATTCACATTCAGTTGTTTCTGTTTTTACTGTAATTTCTAATCAGTTTTGTTCGGCGACACATGCGAAGAGTTCAAATTGAATGGCAGTCTTTGGCGTCTGGTTATTTCAGTCTACACCGTCTTAAATTATTGGATATCTGAAGCCCGTCTTTTCACAGTAAGATAACAACATCAATGTTGATTTAAATTGACCAATAAGTCTTGTTTGCAATGTCGAAGACTGCGGATGATATTAAGTTAAAGACTGGTCTCCTAATAGTTCATCTAGGAGGGTAGGATAGCTAAAGACAATTTATTTTTCAAACAATTTGATAGGACAGTCATTAGGGTTTATCTTCAATATTTAACAACAGTAGTTGTCTGGGTGTCCAACGTCTGGATGTAAACCAGTGAAGCTGGCTGACAGAGAACCGTCCGTCTGCATGTGCAACATCATGATTGGAAATCCAGCCGCTTCTTCTCAATTGGTTAAGGCCCCCTGTTCTGCCTGTAGTGTACTATACAGAAGTCAGTAGCTAAAACAAGGCTTTTCTGGCATCAACCTCTGATCACTTTACCCAGATAGCCAATTGATTTCAAAGATAGGATGAACCTCTACTCCAAAAAGCACTAGTTCTAATAGTTTTTAAAATTGACAATGTTTTTTTTATACAATGTGTATCCCGGTTTTATTTGACCATATTCTATACATATATATGTACCAGTAGTTGTATTTTGAGCCTCAAGAAATTTGTTAAGTTTTGAAATTATAGTCAGCTCAAGACAAATAACTACTGTATAACATAACAAGGAATTTTTGAAACATTTTTAATAATTTCATTTTGTAATACCTCTAATTTTCTTTCTTTAATAGCTAGTAACTTCTTCAGATTTGCCAGCTGCTTTTCTTTCTGAATGATAAAAGAAATATAAAATATATTGACATCTCTAATAATCTACGATAAATCAATTAGGCCTAATTATAATCAATTATTCAATAAGCTTCAATACCCCAGTGTTAGCTGACTAAGTTCTCCCGGATTCCCCTATATCAATGGTGAAGGACAGAGGTCCTGGCAAGGACAGTGTCTAATTGATTGGATGGGACAAAAAAAACAGGCCCTGTGTACGTTTGGTTGCATGTAAAAGAACTTTGGAATTTGATATGAGCGTAGGCCATAGCGTCGCTGTCCAAGCAAAATTTCCCTCAAAGCATGTGACTGGCCTATGCCTGGCTTTATTAACCCAGTCGATGCAGAAAATTAGGATGCTAAACCCCATTTCATTTCAGCTTAAATACATACACTACCATAATCTCTTTAAAGTGAAAATTTTCCTCAACAACCTATGTAGAAAAGCTTTCAATAAAAACTTACATCCCTCAGTTTTGATTTTTCATCATCCATTTTATTTTCACAATATTTTCATAGATACGAAAATTCCATTCTTTGAACCATGATGTTACAATTTAGACCTAATAGAAACTGAAATTCAAAATTAATAGTTACATACATGTAATTCTGTGGTGCTTTAGCTGTTTAAGCTTCTATATCTAAATGTATATAATAAAAATGTCTACTTCATTCATCCTTTTATTAACTGACATTCTTAATTTAAATTTACACCGACATGATGTACCCTTATACAAGTGTCTGTAACATGATCTACCAAAAACACCCAAATTTAGTGCCAATAGTGGGAGGTAGTGTATAGTATTTGGTACAGCGACACTGTATGATACAGTGGGCGAGCTATAATTAATTGGATAGACCATCTTGACTCTTTATATTTAATTTATTATATGGCAGCTTACATTATTCTATTACTATTAGTATTAGTTTATAACTAAGCCTATAGTAGGCCCTATATACTAGGCTATAGCTAAACTGGTTATTCATAATGATTCATGTTGAATTGATCGAGTTGTCACGAATGTCAGTTGGAAGAGCTATCTATGACATCGTTCATTCGTTTGTAGGGTACGTCCGCTTCCACCTTGGTTCTTGGATGATATCGCAGCCAAGTCGAAAGTGTTCCTAAGAAACTAGCGACTAAGCCAGAGAAGCCACATGACATTTACTATTCTAGAATCTATTCACTATTTTTTAGTAGGCTTAGTTAGATCTAGCCTAGTCCAGCTTGATCTATCTATGACTTTCGTGAAATTTCGATAAATTTGAAAGCTTCATACAGTAGTGGTTGCACGAAAATTTCTTACAAACAACCTTATAAAGTTTCGGCATAGTTAGTCTACCAGTAGTAGGTCGACTATTTGTTGATATTAAATATTTTACAATTTCTCCTAGTTTGTGTTTACATTTACCGCCACTATAATGTGCGCTTGCGCATCTCTCTCAGTTCAACTTCCGTCATGCCTAGAATTGATGAAAGGAAAATGGAGTCTTGTTTAGTAGTGAAACAGTCGTTCTGAATTCAAGGCTTGTTTTGTGTTGTTTCTTCGTAGTAATGACATAAATAATCTTCTTAGATATAGCATAGACATTAATTAGTTTTACTGATGGGTTATACTGGCATTAAAGTGCCAAGCATCGTTTATGATGTGCACTGCAGTTAGTGGTTCCCCAAGATTGCTTCAGTCGTCCTGTAAATCCTACGATTATTTGCTGAAATTTCTGCTAGTGGGTGACAGCGACGTGGGTAAAGAGGAACTGTTGTCAGGATTAGATAACGGGGCGACAGAATCACCTTATGGTTATTCTAGTTCAGGTATATATTTATTTTTCTAATTTCTCTATCTTTGCCTTTTGTCAGAAAATGGATCTATCTCTACGACTCTCTAGTCTAGAATCTAGATAGATCTAGATGTTTTTTTTAGTGCCTAGTAGAATAGGGTAAATTATTCTGTTTATTTTTTTCATACCATTTGTTACTTAAATTGTAGCAGAAACCATCTTGTCCAAATTATAATCCAAATTTTATTAGGCAGGTGCCCACCAACACTAAATTGTTGTAATTGCATTATATTTATAAATTGAAATATTTCAGCAGTACATGTCATATGTACATATCATACTACATGTAGTTCAGCTCTGAACAAAAGGTCTTATTACACTCGCCCTGTATGTTCAGAAACCGTCCTATCAGGAACCGTCATATCGAATCCTTGTCGAAAGTCAATTTTACTGGGCAACTTTTTACTGCTAAACAGTCGTGTGTCAGTCTCAGTCTGTGAATGCCTGAACAATGTAAAGGAACATTTTAGTGAGAAAATAAGACATTGCTTACACCGCTAGCATCAGTATGTGCAACACAACATGCTGTTAAAAATACGTCCCCTTCTGCCACTGAAATCTAAATGCAGGGTAATGCACAAATTTACGTAACTCTGCCATATAAGACGAAAGGTCATGTGTACATGTTGTCGTTCACATAAAAGAACCCGTAACAGAACTTGAAAATCAATTTCTGTCCGGTAAAATATCCCTCATACATGTAGCACACTGCATAAAATGTGCAGGTCTTCATTTGCTGGGTTGGTGTAGAAAAGTAGGTTAAGCCCCATTTCATTCATTCTAAGTACAGATTTCAGATGCTCTGTAACTTACTGCATTACAATAATTTTTATACTTTAATGATGGGAAACCATGTACCATTAAAGCCTAAATCCTGCAAAACTTTGTCAATCACGTTTAAATTAATGCAATGTATTATCAATTTTATTTATTAGACGCTACTCCATTGAGATCCATACATGTATAAAAGTAAAACCATGAACAAATGAATCATTATGGAGATTGTACATTAAACACATCATGAATTATACATTTTGACTTTTTTTATTTACACAAACAAGATGGAAATGGCATTGGTGTTATTATGATTCTCAATATTTCATAATGATGTATTTCAGTTTTTATGTTTTAAAGATTATATTGAAATATGTTAAAGCTATATCATAAATTTAAAACTGAAAAATATATTATGTTCTATAAATATATATAGACCCAACATATTGATTTCAGTACACATTAGATACATGTAGACAGTAATGAGTGTAAAAATATGAGCATATGTGTCATGCCACAGTTGGTTTTGTGATAATGATGTTGTTATTATGAGAATGTTTTCAATCCACAAGTAATTAATAACATTAGATTGGATCAAAAGAAATCAAACTGGTTCATTAATCAGGCACTAATGAGGACAAATGTTCATTACATTTTCATCTGTCAATATTAGTATTTATCGGAATGCTATAAATACATAGCTATTCAGTAGTCAAATCTTCTACATTTAATAACAACATATAAACTTTAATATTAGTTCATTTTCTATTTGGGGATTTTGATTTTATGACTTGTCACACTTCAGTAAGTTTACATACAAACAGCAAACAGTACTGACAGCTAACTGATAATTTGAACTCAGACTATTAAGTAGGCTATAAATAGGAGTAGAATACTACAGTAAGTATACTGTATAATAAACAAGTATTCTGATATATAAATAATGATTATGCAGATGAGTGATTTACACTTACACAGCAGCTTTTTGAAAAAAAAAAGATCATTATAGCAATAACACACAATCATTAGAATCATATTTGTCATAACATGTCATTTACATGTACATTCTGTCTATATCAAAACAGATAAAGGATTAAAGAAATAGAAAACAAACATATATAAACAAACAAATTGATAAAGAATAAATATCTTTATCTTTTAGTAGTAAACGTAGTAATGATTAATGAAATTGGCATATTTTTGACAAAATTCAATATATCTGATAAGTGATAACCATTAATGATATTGTTGTCCTTGATTACCGATAAAAGAATAAAAAATGTGACAGTACAGAATGTATGTATGCAAGCCTGGAAATAAGTCACCAGTCACAGACAATGTCATCCACAAGTTCAATCTCTGATGCCTTTCCTTTTCTCACAGATTTGTCTTTTAACAGTGTTTTTAAAACATGTTTAGCACAAAGATCAAAACATCCATTACTAGTTCATTTAATTGTCTGGTATTTCCTCTGGTACCTGGTACAACTAAAATCATTATTTCCAAAACTGTAGTTATTATGTTACTTAGGATTGGAATTATGTAAGAAGATATAAACAATGTTTGTCTGTTTCAGGTATAGATTATAAAACTACAACCATATTATTAGACGGTAAACGTGTCAAATTACAATTATGGTAAGTAAAGTATAAATTATTCAATAGAACTGATTATTACACAGTAGTATAGAACCTTCAGGAGGTTTAAACTGTTTTTTATCCTACCATTAAATTGGATGATGAAAACACAGAGGCCTTATATAGACAAATTGGTAGTACTTATAAAAGATCCCTTGATACATGTACTTGGAATTCATATTGTACATACGACCACAGAAAATGAAAATGATTACAGGAAGAAACCCTGTTGTCCATGTAAAATTCTCCACTAGTGTAAAAGTCACCTTATGTAAACCTGACAAATTATGGTCTCATTTATGTGTGATGTAAAACGACTATGTTGACCAGTATCTACCATTAGTTCAAGGTGTACATAACATTATTAGATATGTAATATGTTTGTGTATTATGATTTCAGGGACACATCCGGACAAGGAAGATTTTGTACAATTTTACGGTCTTATTCTAGGGGTGCACAGGTAGATATAAACATATTTTAACCATAAACAAATAATTATTCAGTTAGATTAATATCCTGTCATTGTTGACATCCTTGTTATGTTGATATCAATTTGTATTTGCCCTCTTTGATAAACAGTGTCCATAACTAGTGTCCTTGAGTCCACAGCCTTGTCTAATCGTTGTAAACCCACAAATGAGGTATATGTAGTATTTGATTGAAATGGATAAACTTACAGAAGTCTAATATAGATTGAAACTACATGTAAGCTGAAAATTTGTTGGAACTTTAAACAAAGACATAATTTATGTCCCTTATGGTGTCAGAAATGCCCATTAACGCTACAAAAATGGAAGAGTTCTGTTAAAATGCATGCATTTTGAAGTGAGATAACCATATTTCTTGCATGATCTTAATCTAAAGCAGCATAGATTAAAACTTTCAATAAAAGTTCCATACGTAACCATGCCAAAAATGGTTCTTGCAGTGATATATATACATGTAATGTAACGTAAATGGTTACAACTTCTGGAATTTTATCAGTATCTACAAGGTACACTTTATCATGGCCCAGTGCAAATTGCATTGAAAGGCCAGATTAAGGCACAGGCTTTAGGGGTCTCCGACAGGTAGATGCCTTCAGAGGTCAAGATGGCAAATGTTATGTACTGTATACCAGAGCGCCCCTTGGGTAAGAATGTCCTAAATTCAGAATGGGCTTCCACAGCTTCTGTAGCCCAGGGATATACAAAGTCTTAATTTGGCTCGACATGTATACAAAACAATAAAACTTGTCTGATCCTATATACTGTACATGTACCTGTAGTAGGTAGACTTACAATGTATATTATCACACAAATTCAGGGTTGTTTATTTTTAAATGTTTTAATGAAAACAAGAATGTGGCCAATATGTGATAATTATCCTGTCCCGGTTTGCCAAGTTTATATAATAATAGCCTCCTCCCAAACTCGATCAGAGTTAAACAAGTGGTTGTCTAGTTATTTCTATCTCATCTTACCTGTAGAACCTATTATAAAACTACAAGTCAACACTCTACAAATAATTTAACACAAAACATTTGCCAACTTTGGATTTTGATGGGTTTCTCAGTATATCAGCATGTTTGTTAGTATTTAATTTAAAGTAATTACTGGAATTTTAAACAGATTTTTTTTTTTTTTTTTTCGCTGAAACATTATCCAGATGTTAAGATGTGGCGTAAATAAATGATAATTTGTAAACCTATATACATGTACAGGTTAAAATGCAGTTCAAATTTACTAATTTATCTTCATCAAAATCTTTGTTCTGTTTTAAAATTGCAGTTAATAGGTAAAATAATTACTATTATCTTCATAGAAAAGTTCCTAAACATTTCTAAAATTTTAGATTAACAAGGGTGCAAACACAATAGTTTGTGATAAATGGGTCATTATTTTGATTTACACATCGTGTAGATGAAAAGTTTGTTTAATCTGATATCTGAAGATGTGTGATAAAAACTGAATTAAATTTAATCTTAAAGTAGCTAAGTCCCTAACTCAATATCATCAAAAATCTTCGACATTGAAAACACAAATTATTTGTCAGTTCATACCAACATTGGTCTTGTGATCTTACCTGGAAAAGATGGGCTTCTGATATCCAATATTCATGACAAAATATACATTTTACCATTGGTACACGAATCGTGTACCATAATGCGTTTCAGCGCCATTTGGAATAAGGGACTTAAAGAACGCGGCTAGACACACTCCACAAGTCATGTCAAATGGTGACGCTATATTCTCACCTGGAGAGCATGCACAATAAATATCATCGGTGTAGGCTGGAATAACCAGATGCTAAGTATTGCTATTAATTGAGACTTCTGGCGTATTTCGCCGAAAATAAATAATTAGAAATTACAGTAAAAATAGAAATGGTTGAATGTAAATCCGTTTATATAGATTCACATTACAGTATTATATCCGTTGCGACCCATTTGTGTTAATTTCTAGGTCCCAAATATTAGCGATTTAGCTCCTTTAAATTAATTCTAGTATCAGCTGTTTAATAAATTTGTCCCTGAATAATGTTCTATGTGCTTCATTGTATTTTCAAAAACTATAATTTTAGAGATAGATAGATCATAACAGGCTACACATATGGTCATTAAACTCTCTTTAAGAATTGCAATAAAAGTAATATTGCTGGTTTTTGTCAAATAAGTTTTTTTTTATGCCAGAATTTTGGGTCTTTTTTCTGTCATAAACTAGAATTTGTTAACAGGTCTGTTCTAAATATCAAATTTATCTTGTTAAAAGCCACAGTTTTAAAATCTAACAGAATTATGAATGAGTAGTACATGTATATCACATGGATCTTTCAAAAATCCTAGATAACATAGGTATGCTGTTTATCATCTTCATTCACTTTAACACCAAAAAAAACCCTCTTGTTAATGACTTTGTGATGGGAAAACTGTAATTTGAGTGTTACAACTGGTATGCTCAGGGCTATTCTGATCATTATAGACTCTGTTTACAAGTATTAACAGCTGTTTAATTCATATAACTATTATGAGAGAGAAAGTTTTTACCCCTTCAGTTGGCCTTGTACCAAATGTTTTAGTGAAAGCAAGAGTTTGTGTATACATGTATATATACAATATGTTTTACTGTAATGACCTACAGATAGATTCACGATTAATACATTTATTATACTCTTAAAAATGGACATCTAAATTGACTGTTGTAATTTCTTATCTATTTCTTCATTATTATCACTGAATTAAAAATACCAGTAAATTGATAATATAGACATGTACATAAATACATGTATGCATTATGACAGTCATGAACTAAACCTCCATACACTTGCATGATTATTCATAGAGTCTCTGATTTAAGAAATTGCGAAAGTTGAATCTCTAAAATAGTTTGATTCCATTCAATGTTTACAAAGATATGATGAATTGAAAATTTGACATACACAGGAATTGTTCAAAACAAGCCAGTGTCACCTATAACATACATATTGTTTGGTTGGCCTATTTTTAAACGAATTGAATCTGTCAGCATATTATCTACCTTTAATATCTTTATTTTGTTTTCTTAAGGATACCGTACACTAATTAAGAGTTTAATACAGGGTAGGCCATTCTTGCTATAATCATTCAAAAATAGATGATAAAAAAAGAAAATATTGAAAATAGCAGTCAAATTACTTTATTCTGAACGGAGTTGTCACTGTTGGAAGTTTGGACTAGAAATAGGCATCAACTGTCTAAGCACTGTCTCTGAGAATTGCCGATTGGATAGTTTGATTGACATACGATAACTCCACCACATATTCTCGATTATCAAGTAACATTCTCAATGGCTATGTTACCCTCGATTGGCAGGCCTTTCATTGGCATTCTCTGGTAGTGACGTCAGTGACTAATGGTAAACGTTAGCTTTGTCAGTTGTTTATTGATTTAATTATTAAAAAGACGACTGTTTAAAACCAGGCTGTATCCAAGCCATCTGGGGGTCTACAGAGTTGAGTTTGAGCTTGTCATGTAAATAAAAGTCTAATTATTTCCTAAATTAAATCCTAAAGAAAGACTTGCAATAGGCAGATTTAGCTCTTAACTAATAGATCTTTAATTAAAACTTGAAAGAGTTTGTACATTTTAACACTAACATTATCTGAAAAATTTACAGAAAATTCTCAAAAGTTAATGATATACATTTATTTTTGATCTTTGTACCAGCACATGTACATGTATGTAGCTACTGGTACATGCTAAGTGGTTTTAAATACCTGTACATTTAGAAGATTAGATTTTGAGGGCTTATGTTTTATTTTAAACAGAGTATATTACTGGTGTATGGTATTAAACGTATGTTTTATGTTAAACAGGGTATACTGTTGGTGTACTGTATGATGTTAAATGTATGTTTTACGTTATACATGTACAGTGTATATTACTGGTGTATGATGTTAAATGTCTGTTTTATGTTAAACAGGTATGTTAAACAGGGTATTATTATTGGTGTATGATATTAAATATATGTTTTATGTTAAACAGGGTATATTATTGGTGTATGATATTAAATATATGTTTTATTTTAAACAGGGTATATTATTGGTGTATGATATCACTAGTAAATGGTCTTTTGATGGGATTGATAGATGGATTAAAGAAATAAATGAGGTAGAGTTAAAATCATTTATCTTATTATAACATGTACATGTACCAGTTGTTTAAAATGGTAAAAGCATCAGTAAAAAGGCATTTTGTAATCCATGTGGCACAGACAGTAGTGTAGAAACAAGTCATTGAATGATAACTGCTAGTTTTCTGACTTACGCAAGTTACATATATCCATTTCTTTTTTTGTCAGCATTTTGCTCATATGAGGTTATCTTATACTATTTTATTGATTTCCTCATGATAATTCGATCTATTTCCTCTGCAAAAGGACAAGGAAAATTTACATTGAAATGATAATAGAGTGACTGATTTGTAAATGAGATCTATGCAAAAAGGATTCAGAATTATATACATGCGGAAAATTGATTGTGAAACCAAATAAAACTTAAGGCTGCGATAGACTTGGAAATTCAATATTCAATTCTCAATGCATTTATGAATTTGAAATATTATTTTTCATGTAAAGCAAATGACTGAAGAATGAGCTGCACTGTTCTGGGCAGATAAATTCTAATTTTACTTCATCAATTTTATTTAATTTGCATTAGGAACATCAGTGGGTCTATAAATATAATAGCTTATTTGATTTTTATTTCACAGCATGCTCCAGGAGTGCCCAAGATCTTGGTTGGAAACCGCCTTCATTTAGCCTTTAATCGACAAGTTAGTGTATTAGCCGCAGAAACTTACGCGATCAAAAATGACATGGCTTTCTTTGAAGTCAGTCCACTTTGTGATTTTAATGTCACAGAATCATTTGCTGAATTATCTCGTTTAGCTTTAAAGAGAAATGGTATGACCCGTTCCTGGGGGCCTAATAAAGGTAAGTTACTTAAATTTAACTGAAAGTAGAATACCAGAGAAACAAGCAGAAAACAGAATTATTAATGGGAGTAATCATCTGGATAATCCAAATTTTTGTTAGTTTTCACAGGGCTGAATAGTGACATAGTTGAGATATTGCTGACTGCACTGTTCAGGGTTTCAATCTAAGAAAAACATTCAGGATTTTTCTGTCTCTAGTCCTATTTGTCAAGAGTAAGAGTCTGAGAGCATGGGAACTGCCAAAAGAAGTGTGCTTAGGTCTAGTTCCAATCTAATAAAATTTGGATCTATATTTTAGTCAACACTATGTGACATGTTACATGTATCTCTCCTCTCAGATGTCTGTGGTTACAGCTAGTACAGTGTATGGTAGCCAAAATCATGAAGGAATTAAGAAGACAAACACTCATATTGTATTAATGTATTATCAGAGCAGTCTGAATTCCATTTTCGTATACTGTTGGATCTAAATAATAATTCAAAAATTGAAAACTGTATTTAATATAAAAACATTTTCTCATTTCAGTGCTTAGTTTACAAGAATTTGCATGTAGGACAATAGTGTCTAGAACAACCATATATGGTATAGATCAACTGCCGTTACCACCTGCATTAAAATCCCACCTAAAATCCTACGCACATACAAATAAATCAAGAGTAAGAATGCTCAGTTTTGTGAATAGAGACAAACAGAAAAAAGTGAAATATTTGAACCCATGTGATTCTCCACCAATGAACTGTCGTAAAAGTTGTTGTATCAGCTAACATACCATCCACATGTGTTGTCATGTATCATATCCTCATATCTCACTGTCTCATTTCTCTTAATCACAGTTATTTGCCCCTGGATATTACATTGTGAATAGTGTAAATGATGCGTAAGTAAGAAAAGTTGAAAATGGATAATGACTTTATTTATCGGCCCAGAGACAAGAATTTGAAGAAAAGGAACAAAAGATATGTTTAAGTAATAATAATCTCCTGAATTCAAAACATTTGCAGATAAAGATATTAAAACAACTGTTTAAAGTCACTGATTGTCATTTGAGGTATTGTTAATTCCCAGCATACCAGTTCAAAAATGGTTCAGTTCCATTCAGTTTTTATAAAGACATGATGAATTAAAAGCTTTGCAACTTTCAGCATCCTCTGCAGGTGATACAAACAATCCAGTGCCACCTATTTTTGTTTCGATTGAATCCAAGCAGAAAGTTCATATCTACCATTGATATTTTGGTTTTGTTTTCGTAATTAAATGTTAGATAACGAATTTGAGAACATTTTACTGTTGACTGAGCCATGAAAATTTGATTTTGTCCGAAAATTTAAATGACGATCAGCAGCTTTGAGTTATAATTTCCTAATTACAGAACTTAGAATTATGTTTAAATCTTAATCGGAAATTAATTAGTAAACTATGATAAGAATTCTTAATGTAGTTTATTGAAATGTTTTCTTATCATGATTATACTATAGTTCTATTTCTGATAAAAAGATATGATATATAAAACTTTCAATGGATTCATAATTGTCAAATTCTGAGAAGAATAGGGTCAAGTTATAATACACTAGAACAAAATGTCTGTCAAATTGGTCAAAGCATTGACTATTATCATTATTACATCATATTGGACTTTTCTCAATATATAAAGGTCGCAAACAAATGTAATAAATAAGAACGAGTCTCAAATATAGATACAGAAATATCAGTCTAGATAGTAAAACCTATAAGTTGCATTGCAATAATTTCCCTTTCCTGGAGTAACCCAGGCTGGGTTCCGTACACATGTGCATGTTCAATAGATGTATAGTAAAATGATTAATTTATGTGTAAGTGTGTCTTCCGTACGTTTTGTGAAACAGGACCCAGTTTTATTACATGTTATTTCTGTTCATGGCTAATTACAGCTTAATTGATTGATATTTAGTACACTATTTTAAATATTTTTCATAGTAGAGTTCAGTGAAAATTCAGTTTTTCAGAATTTCACCTCAAACTGTTGTCTGGGAATACACAAATCACTTGGCGCTCAAAGTGATAAATTTTTAGACAATTTTATCCTTGTGGAAATCAAATCAATTTTACGCTCACACTTTTTCTCCCAAACAATGTATTTCGAGCAAAAAATATCCATCTCATGGAAATTAGGGTTATGGACCTTTTTGTGTTCATATGGACTATGGAAATAAATCAAGCTGTGTCAAGTCGTGTAGTAATAATAGGTACATGTATGTGAGAGACGGTAGCAAAATTGCCACACTTGCGTCTAAACGAATAACCCACAGATAGATCTGGACCCACCTGCCCATTAGGACTGACGGGATGAGAAAATTTTGACATATTAAATAACTGATAATTAATGTACCATTTTCTCTCTGTGGTGTCGTCTAACCCACCCACCCAGTTCAGTGGATTATTCGCTTGGACTCCAGTGTTGAAGTACATGTACATTGAAATAAGTTATAATAAACTAAACACATGTTATCATGATGTAAATATGTAGAGAATACTTTTATGGTCACAAGTTGTTACATGGCTAATTATCATAAATAAACCTGTTGTTGAATGTAGTCAAATAATATATAAATGCAAATGGTGATGAGCGGCTTCAATAAAGACCATTGTAAATAAACCTCTTCGCAGCCAAATTTGATTAAATCTCTACATTATTTATCTTCTCTACCCATTTAAGAAATTATCAGCTGTCACAGAATGATTCAATGATTGTTTTATATTTCTGTGTATTAAATCATGTACGTACAGTACATAGTATAATTCATTTCAAATCTCAGTTATAAGCTCAATAGAATCTGAACTGTATTGTAAGTATGTTTAATACAACCTCATTTTATATGCTTCATGATAGATGGGTAGGCCAGTCGTTTTGAGGATCAATAATTTTTCTGTCAAGAATCAACTAATATATAACTAAAATTAAAATTTCCATTATCGGTAATAAAAGGAGATGTAACTATATGGGCGAAAAAGAAGAAACATATTTCAATAATAAATAGAAAGATCCTTGCTATCAGTCATCTGATAATGAACGTTATATGGGGTTTGTAGAATGTGTGTGTACATAATTTGATCACATTGTGTAATATATATATATATATATATTGTATTATATTGTAAATATTATGTATATTGTTTACTTATCTTAGATAATTATTTCTATATTTCTGTATTATATCATCTCAATGGTTGTGTCAAAATAACCGTGCCACAGAAAATCATGTTCTGAATAACTTGAAATACAAAAAATATTTTCTTATAATATTTAAAGCTGGTAATATATCTTATTATATATTCTATTATCAGTCAAATAATGGTTTCACAGGAGTAAGGTGATAGTGATGTCAAAGGAGAGGTATAGGATCACATTTGTCCCTTCAACTTTAGCTCCAATCTTGTCAATCTTTCATACTATTGGCATTGTGTTTAAATATAAAACATTTCAAAAGTATATAATAGATCACATTTTAAGTGAAATTTCTTCATTTTTTGAATATTTCTGGGTCCATTTTATATAGAAATGGCATAGTTAATAATATTAACTTAATATATTGTTTGCACTCTTTAAAATAATATCACTTCTATGAAATTTAATTGTCTTTCTTATAAAGTTTAAAGTGTTTGATGTAAAAAAAAAAAATAGATTTTCATTATTTTGTATATTTGTATAAATTAAAGAGATGTTTCTAGTCAGTAAGAAATAAAGCATACAGCATTGTTGGTTTCCTGTTAATTAAAGCTTAAAATCTAGTGGCAAGACCTTTGGATGGTAAGTAAAATCAAGGTCACATGTACATGTTGGCTTGCATGTAAAAGAACCCTTGACAGTTAGGCCCTAGCGCCTCTGGCATGACAAAATTTCGCTCATATCACACTACATGGTGTATGTCTGTCTTCATTAGTCCAGTTGCTGCAGAACAGTAGGACGTTAAACCCCATTTTATTTCAAAAAAGCAAACGTGTTGCAAGTTAAAATCTGTTGCTCTCTTTAGTGAATGTTTAATAGTAAATTACCTGGTGTATGTGGTATGATTTAGTTACTAGTTATATTCATTAGTGTGATATATTAATTCATTTGTGTTGATTAAATATTGTAAAATTATTGTATATCTGAATATAGAGTTAGAGACCGTTGCAAAATTTCAACCTTGCATCCAAACGGATAACCCATGGATATATCTCAACACACCCATCCATCCATCTGCAGTGTCGTTCAACCCAGTTCCAGGGGTAATTCGTTTGGATGTAAGTGTTGAAATTTTTCGATGGTTCCTTAGGAGTATTTTTGTATAATACACTGAAATATTGTATGTACATTACTAATAGCCTCAAAAAAGTTCTTTATGACAGATTTGGTCAGGGAGGTAGAATTTAAAATTTTATAGACCATTCTTTTAATCACCACCTTCTGCAGAGGGATGAAAGGGTGATTCCTTCATTTATACTCCTAGAATTTGTGCTTTCTGATTTTATTAAATTACTATTTTGTTAAATTGAGAGAAATTATTTACATCCTAGTATTATGAAAGGAATTGGAAATATAAGTTGAGTAGTATAAATTGACTGTTTCGACAAATTTTGACAACCTAGTTTAGAAGTATTTACCATTACATGTTTATTTTGATAGATGTCGTCAATGTAGGGTACAAAATGCACAGCTCTCTCTCAAAATGTGATAAATGCCATCCGATACTTCCTTATTTCAAACCCATTTCCAGTATACCCATTTCACATAGTTAAACTTGTATTTATTTAAAAAAAAAACAAATGAAGTATCATTTTACCCCTAAATGGTATTGTTTTTATAACAATTTGGAGAAGAGCTCTACAAATACAGAGTGCTTTGAAAGGACAGAAAGAGTATAGTTTGTGTTCATTTAATAGTACAACATGCTCAATCTATCTCAGCTGTGTCTTAATTATACATATCTCTTGTCTTCCTATCTCCACTTTTCTATATTATTAAGGCCCAAGTAAAATGTAACAGTCATAAAATAACCTATTGAATATTAATTATAAATGCATGTACAAATGCATGTATCTTATTCGGAAAAAATGTTCATTTAACTAATATATTTTGAATGCTGGCAAAGAGCATCCTAAAAATGTTTATATTATTATCTAGATTTGTGATTTTGTGCTAAGAAAACTTTTATTCGATTAATTAACTTATGATTGTTTTTTCTTGTATATATATTGTGGTTGAACAATAATTACTGTAACTAAAGTAATACTACTTTTACTTTATTCAATATTTGTTTGTAATATAATATAGAGCAAATAAAGATGGCTCAATCAGACACTGTTGTATTTTTTTGTCTTGTAGAGTTTGCTTCAAAACAACAAATAAGAAAATGATTGTGTACCTTAAGGTTCTATATTAGAGTCTCTTTTTTTTTTTGTCCCCCGCCTTTCGAAGAAAGGGTACTATTAAAATGAGTTCGTCCGTCCATCTGCCTGTCTGTCTGTCCGGCACACTTTTTGGGACACAATAAATCTTCTTCTAATGGTGCTAGAATGTTTAAACTTGGTGTAGGTGTTTTTTTAGGCCAATGCCTTGATGGAGTTCGAAGATGAGCATTTTCTGCTTAGGGTAAGCAGAGATAAGCAATTTGATTGGTTGATGCTTTGGGATACGATAACTTTAGTTCTAATTAATAGTAAGTGAGAGTGATGAAACTTGGTGTATAGTTTCATTACATCAATACCTTGACTAAGTTCGATAATGAGCATTTTCTGCTCAGGGTAAGCAGAGCGATAAGCAATTTTATTAGTGGGAACTTTGAACACCATAACTCTCCTTCTAATTGAGGTAGAATGTTCAAATTTGGTGTAGGCGTTCATTAGGTGAATGCCTTGATGGAGCTCGATTATAAACATTGTCTGCTTACGGTAAGCGGAGATAAGCAATCTGATTGGTTGATGCTTTGGGGCATGATAACTTTGGTTTTAATTGAGAGTGATGAAACTCCAGAGTATAGATTCATTATATCATTACCTTGACTAAAGTTCGATGATGAGAATTTTCTGCTTAGGCTAAGGAGTGATAAGCAATTTGATTGGTCAAGACTGTGGAACATAATAACTCTGCTTTTAATTTAGGTACAATGTTTAAACTTGATGTAGATGTTCATTAGGTGAATTTCGAGCTAAAGCTAAGCAGAGCTTAGAAATTTCATTTGTCGATGCTTTGGGACAAGATAACTTTGATTCTATCTGATAGAGAGTGATGAAACTTAGTGTATAGTTGATAATCAGTTTGATTGCTTCATACTTTTGAAAAAATAAATGTGCGATTAATTAATTTGTGTCCTCTATTTTGGGATTTCGGCGGGGGACATCAGTCTCGCTGATTCTGTATAGAATTCATGAGCTATATTTAGTTGTTATCCCCGTTTTAGATAGTGGGTTGTCAATGGATCCTAGGAGTATTCCTGTCTAGTTACCCCTTATCCCTGACGGTGAAGCAGTACTGGGGGTCTGGCAAGGAATGGCGGTTGAGACGAAAAATGAGATCCTGACCCCACGCAGCTGGAATTCGATGAAGAGTTGGCAGAAATGCTGATGTCCGGGAAAAATGCCTCCAAGAGCACACTGCATGGCACGTGCACCTCTTCATAGCCCAGATGGTGAAGAAAGTAGGAACCCCATTTCATTTAATTTCACTCGCATGTCCTCGAAAGGATATGAAAGATAGAGCTATATACTCACAAACTATATAAGCAGCAAAACGGATTCAAATCTCAAATATTTATTGACCCCCCCCCCCCCACCCAACCATCCCTGGCACAGCCGTTATGGAACGGGATTTCATTGAGACTTCTGATAATTTCCTGATATAATTTCACTTATCGGTACTATTGATGCAATCTGTTTCAAAGCGGTAATGCGAAAGCCGGGCGAATATTTCCGCTGATCAGTTTGCTATTGTTGGACTTTTTACCTATAGTATACACGAATCATTGATTTTATTTCTCCGTATCTAACTACTCTCCGCCGTTGGTATGTTAAACAAGCAGCTGATAATGTCAGACCTTTATAGCAATATGAATCAATATTTACCCACTTTATGAACATTTCTTAACTCTTTAACTTAGGTTAAGAATTTTACTATAATATTTATATAAATGTTACCCTATTGCTAAAGTAACTCTTTGGCTTTTGTATGTAGGTATTGTCATTGGTTACCATGGTAAACAATAATATTTCCCAAACATTAATCGATTTGATTTATAGTCTTCTTTATCCAGGCATCCATTCAAAAAAGTACCATAGCTACTATAATAAATACGCGATATGTAGGAATATACAAAGTTGAATCGAGGTTTAGCTTGGTCATTTACTTTCTTTTTTTTTTTTCTTTGGCGGGGATTGGGGTCCTGCGAAACCTATTTTTAAAATACAGATATCATATTATCTCACCATATTTTCATATTGTCTCCCTGTTACACTCTGCAAAACAGCCTTCAGGTCATTAAACCCCATTTCATTTCATTTCATATTTATGAACATATTTACTTTTCTTTCCTTACACAAATGTCTTGTTTGAGGTCGCATATTTGTAACGTAAATTGTAGCCAAAGTTCAGTGAGTACTCACTAACCAGGGGCTCGATCTGAGAAATTGCCCGGGATTTTCCAGGGTGGTTTCCCCCCTGTCAATCGTGCAAGAGTAAGAGTGTCGTTTCGTTCGGGTGCTCCGCAAAACCTAGGTCCCGCATGCACTTCGGCGTGGCACACAGCATTTCACACGTACGTCTTCATTAGCCATGTCATGTAATTTGACCTCAGTTTTACTAACAATAGAATTATTCCACCTCGACACTTTTTTTTAAAGAAAATGTCTATTCCTATTATTATTATTAATTATAAGTCACTAGGCTTCAAAGGTTCAGGACGCACTACCTATAATAGCCGTTTTATACGCCCACATTTTCATGTGGACGTATATTGTCGTCGCCCCTGTCCGTCCGTCCACAATTGTTTGTGAACAGTCTACAGGTCACAATTTTTATCCGATTTCAATGAAACTTGAAATATAGGTTTATCACCCTAAGATCTCGGTTCCTTTCGATATTGGCATGTATCGGACTGTAAATTCATGGATTATGGCCCCTGATTGTACGAAAAATCACGTTTTTAGCTTGTGAACACTGTAGAGGTCACAATTTTTATCTGATTTGGTTTAAACTTGAAATGTAAGTTTATAACCCAAAGATCTCGGTTCCTTTCGATATTCGCGCATATCGGACCGTAATTTCCTGAATTATGGCCCCTGATTGTACGAAAAATCGTGTTTTTAGCTTGTGGCCCCTATAGAGGTCATAATTTTTATCCGATTTAAAAAAACGTATTATTATATCACCGTTACACCCTAAGTACGGCTGAGTTCGAATTTCGTGAAAATCGTCCCAAAACTGAGAGACACAATGGCCGCCCTTCGTTCTCAAAAGCGTAAAAATATGGTATATCAAGGTTGTGGACCCTATAGAGGTCACAATTTTAATCCTATTTTGATGAAACTTGAAATGTAAGTTTATAACCCAAAGATCTCGGTTCCTTTCGATATTCGCGCATTTCAGAACGTCACTTCCTGAATTATGGCCCTTGATTGTGTGAAAAATCGCGATTTTAGCTTTTGGTCCCTGATTGTACGAAAAATCGAGATTTTAGCTTGTGGACCCTATAGAGGTCATAATTTTTATCCGATTTAAAAAAAACATTATTATTATATCACCGTTACACCCTAAGGATGGCTGAGTTCGAATTTTGTGAAAATCGGCCCAAAACTGACAGACAAAATGGCCGCCCCTCGTTCTTAAATAACGTAAAAATATGGTATATCAAGGTTGTGGAATAGAGATCACAATTTTTATCCGATTTTGTTGAAACTTGAAATGTAAGTTTATAACCCAAAGATCTCGGTTCCTTTCGATATTTGCGCATATCGAATTGTAATTTCCCGAATTATGGCCCTTGATTGTAGGAAAAATCACTTTCTTTTTAGCTTGTTCTCTATCCATCTCTCGAAAATGTGGGCGTATCCTGCCTGGCAGCCGCTGGTTGATTAACCTGGACGATGATTAAAGTAAGTAGAACACCTGCCATGTGAAAAGCAACGTAGACGGGTTTTACTTTTCGTTGAAAGCTGTTGAAGTATATCACCCAAGAAGAAAAAAGATATTTCAATTTCACGGTCAATTCTTGATGATTTTATTACAGAAACTAAGGTAATTTGTTGAATAGGTAAACCTTGAACCGCATATCGATCTTTCTATAGCCTTGATTAAAAGTAAAGTGAAGTCATAACATATTCGTAATATTCAGGTGATAATTAGAGATAGGTGATGTCGTGTGGTGTACGATTACGTCACAGTGTACCTAGCGCAATAACCAGTGCTTCAACGTTATTCATAAAAAGACCTGATATCCCACGTGATACCCAAGTATATGTATACCAGGTAAGTAGATTATATTGATGTAAACAATTTTTATACAAATAAGATCACACGTGAGATACAATAGTCTTGAAATACAGCAGTTATTATATTATGAACATATTTAGAACATTGTGATAGGCCTAAAAAGGTACCCAAAGTTTAGGTGTCTGTCTTATAATATACAATATTAATTTCGTTCAATGATAGCAGTGTTATTATAAAAGCAAATTATATATACCCATAGCATAATACAGGCTTGAAGTCTATTTAGCGTGATTTCGTAAGATTAAACTCCTGTTACTTACATTGAAAAAAACATAAATGGTCAAATTGGTTTATTTGCAAAGACGCATTGGTTATCATGTTGTAGCAACGAAATTATTTGCCAATCGTTTTCATATTAAAGACTTTATTTATTTTATATGCTTGAGAGAGACCAAGCCTGTAAGTCAGCTTGCATCACAGGTTGAAGACATTCGTTTTAATTCAAATTATTAAGATAGCCAAAATACATTAAAGTGAGGTGTGTCTAGGGTGGGGTATGTGTGGAGGAAGGTGGAACAGTTTCCACAGTGCCTCTGAGAAATGAATCGACGCCGTTTAGTGTGACGTCACATGTAGAATCCAAGTGAACTTATAAAGGTCCGTCATCGTACACATGAGTTAAAAGAAAGCTTTCGCATTACCTCTATGAAACCAGACACAAGACTATTGCTGATCAAGAAGTTCTTCTCCTACACTGTAAATAATATTTGTGTATTTTTACCGTAAATTGACTGGCAGAAAGTTGCCAGTAAATTGACTGTATTTTAACACCGACATGTAAATTTACACCTAAGTGGTAGATTTAGATTTACAAACAGCATGTAAATTTATTTTTTGGCATAATCATATTATACCAGTTATTAAAATCAATTTCGCAATCTGTAGATATATAAGTAACCAATATCGCTATCGACACAATCATAACATATCAGTAATTGAAATCAATTTCGCAGTCTGTAAATTTATGAGTAATATCTATCGCAGACCTATACATGTATCGCAAAGCTTTAAATTTCATTTCCTTTTCCCATTATTTATAGTCATCGCACATCTCGCAAGATTGAAATATGCTACGACGCATTAGAGTTTTAAATGCTATTGATATCTCTCAGTAACTCTGAGTGATAACATAGGGTTAATTTATTTAATTTAGTTTAATTTACCGTCTTCGGTAGTCCAATTGGTGCAGAAAAGTAGGGCGTTTAGCCCCGTTTCATTTATTTCCATTTTATTTTTCAGATTTGGAATGAATTTTGTCTCGCAAGATATAAAAGTGGGCGTATTGTAATTTGACTGGTATGGGTCTGTTTACATGTTATTGGTTCACATATTCTGCACAGTTTTTATGATTGGAGAACAAACACTCTGCAACAATGTGACTTTTCTCTGGATGTAGCTTCATGGTATGATTTTCATATGCTTTCTGTGATACCAACCCTGACTAATTCGAAATATGTCTTCAGCGAAAACAGTAGCAAGACCAAAAGGTCATCATGCAACTAACACCAAATCACGTCTAAGGCAATTTATAGCTGTTCCGGAAGGACTTTATCAAGAAGAAGAATCCAAAGTGTACACTGTCATCTGCATTGCCTTTGTTGGCGTATCGTTGATTGGATTAAGCGCCGGATTAATTATTTACGCACAGGATGTGGCAATTAGAGATTTAGTGGTAATTGGTGCTATAGGAATCTTTGTCGGATTCGTATCTTTAATAGTGGCATTAATGTATTTAGTGCAACCAATCCTCGCACGACGTCATCGGAACAGAATAGCACATATGACAGACAGACAGAGGTATACAAGAAACATTTCTGTTGTTCATCCAAAAAATCAGGGATCAGCTAATGGATATATCAATAATTATAACAATATTAGTATGGGCGATGTTTCGCTTCATTCTCAACCAAGTAACGCACAATTATATGACGCAAATGACGAAGTCACAAAATTTTCTGACGTTGTACACAAACCATTAACAATTTCTGTTCCTTCAATCAATGAAAAAACACCAACATATAATGTGGCTTTTAATAATGAAGAAACAGAAGAGAGTGCCTTATAACAAAATTTGTGCATCCCGAAAACTTGTTGTAAACTAAGAGCAAAAGATTTCGTACGACCTGGAAATATTTAATTATAATATAGACTGAAAGTGATAAGTGAAAACTTTCTATTAACCGCAAATTTAGCAGATAACAGTTAGTGGCGGTATGAAGTCAAAGCTATCCATAAACATTTTTTGTAGAACTGAAATGGAGTCTAACGTCCTACTTTTCTGTACCAACTGGGCTAATGAAGAAGGATTTGTTTTAGATATATTGTGTGCTACCCATTAGTAGTCCGTTACGCGTAAGATCTTTTTTGCCTCTAAAAGAGACGTAATGAGAAGGTCGGGCATAAAAAAAACCCCGATATCTTTAATTGCCGAAATATCATAGTAAAGCAAACCTATGTTATCGATTTTTTTAAGGAATCGTTTAACCCCGTGAGTGAGGAACACAATTTCAACATTAAGTAACCAACATTTGGTGACAAGTATCATCAGCCCATACCGTCCACTACCACATTAGCTACCTTTGGTAAAGGATTGGGCCGTGACTGTCGTATTACTAGCATGTTCCTGGAGCAACAACGGCGAGTTTTACAACTAAATGGCCGGGATTAACAATCTACTTCCGGTTTCGCAGCAATCAAATACCTAGTGATAGAGGATAATGTATGACATTTTATTCACGGGGCTTGATTGTCCGAAGACAATTATGTCTGGCTTGGCATATGGTTAGTAAAATTAATAGGAGAGAAACATATTTCTTAAAGATACATTATGGGAGATTAGATAAAGAGCTGACAGTTCCCATTATAATAGATAGAAACTAGATAATATAAAGGCAATTTGCTGAAAATTTCAGTCAAATTGATCCACTATGAACCGAGATTTTAGCGATTGAATTTTCGGCCTAGCCTCGGTCATCATTACTAATGTCCGCACGATAAAAACATAGTCTCGATTATTCATTTCATGATTAAATTATGAATGGAAGCCGAACAGGAAATCAGAACCTAATCCAATAAACATCGCAGGCTAGCGATGCCATCGAGAGTTGATTATGGTCTGGATAAGATAATTAATGTCTAATTAGTAATTTAGATAACATTTCAGACCTAAAGAAAGACATGCATTAGGCAGATTTATCTCTTGCATAATGTAGGCCTATGTTTAATCTCAGATAACATTTTGTTTATAATCGACTGGAAACTTTATCGCAATACATGGCCTCGGTATTCCCTGGGTTCGTCCAGCGAATTTCTTATAGCGGGCCATCTTGATTTCTGTTTATCGTGTGTTTAATATCCTTATAGTGTGCTGATTTATAGTGTGCCAGGTTGATCTCGGTCTTGTTCGCTCGATTATGGAAAAGTTTGCAAGAAATTCAATATAAAAGAAGTGACATGCACACAAAACGATGTCATACACATCTTTTTGGTGGGAAAGATGTTACTTTTATGTCAGTCTTTATGTATTTTGATTGGTCGATAAAAATTAGCATAAACATCAATCCCTTTTCAGATACAAATCTGAATAAAATATTGCTTATAAAAAAGGGCAGATAATTTGAATACTTGTCTCCTCCCGTGGATGAACCGAGGGGTTAGTGGAGTGGAACGGAATGAGACCACTGGGGATATGCCATACTCCATGTTAGTTTTTAAGTAGCGTCACTTCATATTTATGTTTTAAAGAGAGAGAGAGAGAAATGGGGTTTAACGTCCACTCGACACAAACTAGGTCATTTCGGGACCAACATATGGTTTAATTTTATTTCAATAATTCGCTTCCGCGTAGGGGTCTTTAGCAGTGGGAGGAAACCGGAGGACCCGGAGAAAACCCACGAGGTTGGACAGGCAACCCTACTCCTTGTCACGTACAACCGGGGATTCGAAACCACGCCAGTTGACTCAATGACAGGCCTCGTGATACAGCGCGCGCGTGCTAACCATTCGGCCATCCAACCCCCCTTTATGTTTTAAAAGGACTGGTAAAGTCGCTTACCTCAGGCGTAACACATCCCGAATTGAAACTCGTAAATTTTGATATTTGAACTAGAATATGTGTCTTTTGAAATGTCGAACCACATCACCCAAACCCCACCCAAAAAAATCTTTGCCTTTATATTTGGACAGGTTAAATATATGCCCATTTCAGAAAGAGGGAGAGAGAGGGGGGGGGCTTCCATACCCCAAGTTGTCACACTCTTAGTGTGTGTGAGGTCTGCAATATTTTATAATTTTTGAGTGGCATTTAGCAATTGCTATATTACAAACCCGTGATTGTCTTTCCAGATAAATTGTGTTATGTTCAATATTTTACTCCAAGTCGGCTTACCTCGATATAAATACAGTCTTCTACTCTTCGTCATTATCTATATATTTATTTACTTTTTTGGCTCGAAATTGCTTCTATGGCCCAGGAATTGCAACGTTCCATTTGAATGCGCAAAGTATTGATTTATCAAACGAAACACTATGGGTGGTATGTTGCATCGATACAGTTTACACAATAAATTTGTCTTTTCAAAGTTTGTTAGATTGACTCAAGAGCTAATGCCTTTTACAACCAATAAGATTATCTATTATTAATAACTATAAACATATTGTTACTATACATTTGAAAGAAACAATGGCATAAATGATTTGGTTAAATATAGTTTTTAAAATAAATGTCGATCACCAGTGAACTCAATGAACAGCAACGAAAATGAAATCTGGAATGTGAGCTCGACAGTTATATTAATTGTACTGGCTTCCAAAGATATATACTGGAGCATTGCCTTGTTTATGTTAATTTGTCTCTGTAGGTACTTGTATCGTAAACTGTTTAAAACTATTGGGATAGAATAGGGGCTGGGGATGGGGGTCTAACGCGTGCGCTTTAGGTCATAAGGTCTTCCATTGAGTCAAGTGATTGCCGGCGCATCCTCGTGGATATTCTTGGGGTCCCCCAGTTTTCTTCCACGCAAGTGAGTTATAGAAATAAAATGGTAGTCCTGAAATATCTGTTTTGTGTCGAGTGGAGACAATGCAGACAGCCCCACAAGAAGAATTTGCGTGCTCAGATTTATTAAGACTCCGTTGACGTCTATAAATAAGGTTAACTACATATTATCAGATCTTTGCATTTATATAAAGCCGTGCTACGTCATGCCGACCAAGAAACAAGTATACCCAAGAATTGTGAACGCTGTAAATTATTTAATGTGGCTATTTAAGGTAGCTAATGGATATTGATAGATCGTCAAGATAAGTATCGATTTATTCCCTCATTTTCCATTTAACGAAGAAAATGTTGAAGAAAGAAATGGTGTTTATTTTCTCATTTGCATAATATTTCTGCTTAATTTTGACCTGCTCTACCAATAAGTACACAATACCTCGGCTTTTTGGGGTTTTTTTTTTTCTTTTCGACACACTATTCTTGCAGGTCCATGGGGTTGAAGCTACTTACCATTTAGCTTGTATTTATATTCACCATAATTGTACATGTACTGCTGTAGATTCAAACTGATGTTTGATTTAATTTATTAATCTGTTTTATCCATGACGCATGGTAGTTTTTGTATATTGTTATGGGGTATATTTTTCACCTGTTTAAAATGATTAAAATATACTTTTATAATATAGGCAGGAATTGTTTTTATTTTTGATGGTCATCTGAATGTGTAGGTAAGATAATATTTTGACGTCGGTGTTAGCGGATATAATTATTTGAAATCACTGCAAAATAGTTTATACTAATGTCATGGAGGTCCCGTGTACTCATTGATGTGCACGTAAAAGTATCCTTGACAGTTGAAAATCGAAATAAGAGTAGGGAGTAGTGCCGCTGTTCACTCTGTCCAGACAAAATTTTTCTCGTGGCACATGCAAGTCTTCATTAGCCGACGCAGACAAGTAGAACATTAAACCCCATTTCTCTAGGCGTACTGGTACCAGTACGAGGTCATTGTAACGACTGCGCCGACTGGAAAATCTTTAGGACGCAATTATATTTCAAAATACTGTCTTTCATTTGGATATAGTAATACTCTTTCGGTTGTCTTTATTTACACCCCTTTAATGGAGTTGATGCTGAAAACTGAAAATGAGAACTTGAAGAGTTGAGCTTCCTATAGATGTTTGTGTATATAATATTTAATAAGAAGCACAAATTAATAAAACATAAATTGTCTTTGTTTGCTGTACATATATTTATGGGACAAGAACTGGTCCACGGGCGCTATTCATTTTGTTCTTCTTTCGAATAAAAGCTTAGGGCTCCACCAATTCATGTACGGTCGATATGGAACTTAGCATGATTGTTCCTTGGACAATTGCACATCGATTTTGAAAGCGGTGATTTCTTCATATTTGGTTGATGGGCCGTATTATCGCACTAGTTCCTTCATGAAATACCATTAATCCCGAAGGTCGTAACTTCACAAACAGCAAGAGTCTTTTAACAACTTTACAACCTTCTTATCTGATATGTAGCCCACTTTAGATCAATACTATATATAGTTATCTCCGAATAGTAAATATATTGGTGATGTTTAATAAATCTTTAATATAATGTTACATACCATATACTGGCAGCTTATATGTTGACCCCTTTCATACCTCTTGACATATGCACTTGTGTATTCTGTGGGTTGATTGGTCCAAGTTTTGGAAATGAAATGGGATTTAACGTCCTACTGTTCTGACCCGACAGGGCTAATGAAGACGGCCATGTTTTAGAAATTCCGGGGGGTGGGGGGTGAAATTACAAGGTCAGCCATTGAGTCATATTGTGGCGTGGTTTCGATTCCCCGCTTGAACGTGACAAGGGGAGTAGGGTCACCTGTCCAACCTAGTGGGTTTTCTCCGGGTCCTCCGGTTTAGTCCCACTGCTAAAAACCCTATGCGCAAGCGAATTATTGAAAAAAAATTAAACCATATGTTAGTCCCGAAATGACCTAGTTTGTGTCGAGTGGACGTTAAACGCCATCTCTCTCTCTCTCTCTCTCTCTCTCTCTCTCTGGTGTTCTCGCTGGATAAGTAAATAAAATAATGCATTTATTTGTAGACACCTTTTCTCATTTCCGTATTCGACTAGACTTGCACGGATATTTTAAATGGTGATATATATTCTTCTAATCTGGTTTTCTCACTGGAAAAGTAAATAAAATTAATGCATTTATTTGTTTCAAATTTCGTGTATAAGCAGAATTCGGGTAATGGCAATAAAATCCCACAGTACACTATATGTAAAAGAGGGGAGACTACTCCTACTGTTTAATTTTCGTTTGCGGCTGTACTGACGATTTGCAAATAACAGTGACAGTATATCTGTAGTGGGTAGATATTCCATACAATTTGCTTATAAATATGATGTTCAGCCAATCGACAATATAGTTTCAAAACTATATAGTTTGTAACAGTAGGTACTGTTGTTCCCCTTTACTTGTACCACATACAGGGGTACTTTTTTACACGGTAAATCTCCACGAATTAAAGATGTATCCAGATTGTTTGAAATTTATTAGTGACTTGTCTAAATAGATAAAATGTTTGAATTATGAAATTTAAATGTGGTACTGTTTTTTGGGTTAAAGAGGGGACTTCCTGTATGAAGTTAGTTGTTGGTTACCATGAATTCAATAACAAATAAATCAAAAACCAATAAAACTCTTCCCGAACACACCTAAACAATGTAAATAGCCGTTAAAAGTGTATTTATATCATTCTTTGTTCAAAATATACATATACATGGTTCTTTCTCTTTCTTCTTAGATTTTTAGCCCCCTATTCTATAGTTTAAAGGAACATAAACCGATAAATCCTATTCTAACCATTAAACCGGTTAATAATTTCATGTCAAGAGGTTCAATCAAGGGAATAGAATGTAGGGAGTAGAAGCTCCTGGTTAATCCTATCAGTTATATCTCCTTTGAGAGAGAGAAAGAGAGAGAGAGAGAGATGGGCTTTAACATCCACTCGACACAAACTAGGTCATTTCGGGGCTAACACATGGTTCAATTTTATTTCAATAATTCGCTTGCGCGTGGGTCTTTAGCAGTGGGGGGAAACCGGAGGGCCCGGAGAAAACCCACGAGGTTGGACAGGCGACCCTACTCCTTGTCACGTACAACCGGGGAATCGAAACCCTACCAGTTGACTCAATGACAGACCGTATGATACAGCTAACCAGTCGGCCATCCAACCCTCCTCTCTATTTAGGTGAGGCATCTCTTAATTGTTTGTTTTTAGCATACATGTATATGATAATTAAAGATTATCGTGATATAAGTATTAAAGATACATTATGTAATATTTGTATAAAGACAACGAGATAATGCAAAATTAAATCATTAAATGGCGACCTCGTTTTAATACGTTTAAATTTTCGCCATCCGATGTTCTAGAGAGTTGATTATAGGCTTGTCATATGAATAAATAATTATTTATGTAACATTTGAAGCCAAATTAAAAACATGCAATTGATTATAAGCTTGTCGTGTGAATAAATGTCTAAATAATAGTTTATGTAACATTTAAAGTCAATATGATTGCTACCCTTGTTTCATGTAACAATGGGTGTTCCATTGTCAAAAAGTCCCTAAACCCAGCAGTTCAACCATTTCCTATTTCTTACCCAATGATACGGGAAGCCGCGGTGGCTCAGTGGGTAAGGCACTGACTCACCAACCAGAAAGTCTTAGGTTTGCCGAGAAAGTTCTGATGTGGTTTACCTTGTCAGTAGTGCTGAGCGGGGGGCCTGACAATGACAGTGTCTAGTCTTTCGGATGGGACGAAATAACCACGTGAAAATCGGCGTGCACGTAAAAGAAATGTTGACAGTTGAAATTCGATATAAGAGTAGGCCGTAGATGCCGCTATATGGTCAAAGTTTCCCTCATAGAACACCGCATGCCGTATGCCCGTCTTCATTATCCCAGTCGGTACAGATAAGTAGGACGCTAAACCCCATTTCATTTCATTTCGGCTTTCAACATATACAATTGCAATTTAAGGACCTCAAAGTGGGGACCGTGGCAAATAAGAAATTCTAATCAGAGCGCCTCCTCCCTTTATTTCAACTCCCAGGTTTACTTTCTATTGCTGTTGTCTCTTAAGACCCATTGAAATGTGTTAACAAAGAACAGTGAACCGTTTAACTAACAATACTAGCAGGGGAGTCATAAACAATATAGAACACGTTTATCACTTCAAATCTTTTATATTAACTAGTTATATGGAGTGACTTGGTTGCTCAGAAGTCATTAAACGTTATTTAACTATTTATACATACATATGACCTACATGCCAATGAGATTATTATTCAATTACAATTTCAATGATATTATACCATATTATGATACACATATAAATAATAATTCATATCGAACATATGAGATTTGATATCACTGATCATGTGAATTGATTTCCTATAAAATGTTAAAATGTAATGTGCACATATTCAAGATCGAAGTTAAATAATATTTAAAGTACACTTAAGATAGTTCACGTATATCTCAAAAGTAAAAAAATGTGTACTATTTTAACGTAAAGAATTTAATTATAATATGCTTATATACAACATTTTTTCAGAACAAAAACTAACACAGTAATATGGGAAATGAAATGAAATGGGGTTTAACGTTCTACTTTTATGCAACAACTTGGCTAATAATTGCATTGGCTGAAACTCCCTATTATGTTTCCAGTCGATAAATGCCACTAATTACAGGTTTATGTTCAGGGCCGGTTTTTGGCACCTTGAACAATTTCCCCAAATTGGGTCCCGCACTAGAAAGGAGCCCCGCAGCTCACCAACTTAAATAAAATCCAGGCAGTCTGGCAGCGGGGCTGTCAGATGGTGTATTAATCAATTACTAATTGTGAAGTAATGTAAATATGAATGAATATGGGTCTAGTTAAAGTTATTCATATCCTGCAATGTTTTCATATCCTGTAACTTCAGACCTTCTAAATTGGGCCCCGCATTTTATACAACTGGTCCTGATTATAGTAAGTAGATTTTGCAGCCCGAATAACAAGTTAGACTGGCCAATTTCGCATTGAATTAATTTTACTTAAGAAGAAACATTAATAAATGTTTGTTTTGTAACAATTTTATATGTTCATACTAATAAAGTTTAACAAATACGTATTCCTAGTAATAAAGTTCAACAAATACGTAATTTATATTGTCTAAATCATGTTAACTCATAGACTAAACACCATTTCCTGTAGTACTTCCGGTGTGAAGACACGAGCCGCACCGTTAAGTCAGCATGTATTAAATCGTTAGCTTATAATCAAGGCCTAACCAGGCGCCCCATAGCATGGAGGGGACCAGACTCATTTTAGGGGGTCCAAAATAGTACGAAATAGTATATATACAGCTTCCATTTTTCCAAATGGACTGGGGTAGTTCCCCGTTGCGTGCTTTTCACACCTTAGGCGTTCGCGAAATGTCGTTCAAAACATCACAATGGAGATCTGAAAGTCCTGAAATGTTCACATTAAGCACTAAATATAATGACATCTGTATAATTCTCAAAAACACATGTATATCAATAATGGCATGTTATATCTCAATAAACGAGGTAATGTTTAAACATTTGGCAAATTTATAAAATATGTACACCATATTTTGAGACGGGAAGCACTAAAATATTGTCTATATCACAGATAAGAGTATCACAATTTCAGAAAAGGTAAAAACACGACCATGTTCTATTAAAACCAGTCGTACTTTATCATTAATTATTCATATGGGCTATTTGCAAGCTCAAATAACCATACCCTTACATAAAATGTGAGTTATCCAAAGGCGAATATCCACGCTTATTTCCAAAATCCGAGCACTCCTTACATTAAAAATTGTCATGGCTACGAACGAAATCCCTTTTCTTGAGTTGTAAATATAAAAAAGGGAGGTCATGGGTTGGTGCTTTTATCTGAAGCCGAATGTCCACGCTTATTTCCAAAACCCGAGCACTCCTTACATTGAATATTATCAGGGTTAAGAACGAAACCATTTTCCACAATTGTAGTATTTCATCGGTTGGCGTTTTTATCATGAGATTGCGTTTCACTTCTTGAAAACCACTAAATAAATTTCGCATACATGCCTATTATACAATTGTGTAATGAAATCATGCCAACAATAGTATTTCCAATAGAAGCGGTACATAACTATTATCCGCAAATGTCAAAAGTTTCACGTCATATTTGCAGCATATTTTCAGTTTTAGTAAACACTTGACGAGTGTCACCGTATTTTTTGTTGTTGGCGCATTAGTTTTTGTTTTTGTTTATAAATATAGAAATAGCTGTTATAAACAGATGCTTGTTCCGGTATATCTTGTATTATGGGTAAAGTCGGCGTCGAGCTACGACTTGTATCTTTTGTATCTAAACTAACAGTCACTCCCGCATTTGGTTTCTTCCCTTTTGGGGGTCTCGGCGATATATCTTTGGTTTTTTTGGATTTGCTAGTTCTATTATGAGTTTTATCACTTTGCACAGCCGCAGCTACACGGGGCGCAGCCTGAGTTGGCGGATATGACGCTGTCAGTGCCGCCGGAGAAGTTCTAGATGGGGACTCGGAATATATATCATCAACCCAACCTTGAAGCTGTTTAACTTTTACTTCATTATCTACCTGTTTCTGTTCAAGATTTTCCAAGCGAGAACTCAAAGCTTTCTTTGCGTTTTTGTCCTCAATTTCAGTGAAGTTGTGCTCCACCAATCGAAACCGTAATCGTCTATTTTCCGAAGCAAGTTTTTCATCAACGTCCACCTCTCTCTTTGTCTCCCTGGCAGTGTTGAAGTTGTCTTGGTTAACCTGTTCTAAGAACTTCAATCTCTCGTTCATGTTTCCAACTTTAATACTAAGTTCCATATTTTGTTGTTGAAGTTTTGAAACTTCGTCTTTGCTTAGTGTAAGCTTTTCTTCCAGATTCAATTTAGCTTTCTTTTCCGCTTCTAGTGTTCCCTCTGTTTTCCGTAGTTTTTCATTAGTTTCCGCTGCTTCTTGGACGTGTTCCTGTATTCTGACAATCTTCTTTTTACCCCCTTCGATATCCATTTTTAGGGCTTTGTTTTCCTTATGTGATTCGTCAAGTTCATTTTGTAAAAGTTTCAGTGTGTTTTTAAGACTTGCTATTTCTTTTTCCAGACTTACAATCTTTTCGCTTTCTTTCTTTTGTTTTTCTATGTCATCCTTCAAAGTGTCAATTTCTTCTTTCTGAAGTTCCACTGCTAACTTTTGATTCTCAATTTCATTTTCCTTCTTATCAACGAGATCTTGCACTTCTTTTAATTCTTTCTCTTTGTCCTTCACCAACGACTGCATTTGCTCTTTTTCAGCCTCTGTAATGGCAGCTTGGGCAACATAGTTGGCCAATTCCTGTTCTTGGGATTCGAATTTTTTAAGACGTTCCTCTAATCGATTATTAGCTTTCTGGAGTTCCAGCTCTGTTGTTTTCTGATTTTTCAGATTTTCTAGAAGCTCTTGGACTTCATTTCGTCTTGTTCGTAGTTCGTCTGACAGTTCCTTGTTTTCATTTTTCAGGATATCAAAATGTTCATCGGTTTCTTTGGACTTTATTTTCAGTAGTTTCATTGAAGCCTCTAACTTTTTGTTTTCTAACTGTAATTGCTCGATCTGCGGAAGTTTATCTTGCTCATACAAAATCATCTTGTCTTTTAGAATATCATTTTCCTGCTCAATTTCTGTGATCTTTCTTTCTGAATCATGGTGAAGAATTTTATATTTCTTACTTTCTTTCTTCAAATCTTCAATTTCTTTCTCCAGACTTTCAATCTGATCTTGCAGTTTTTTTGTCAGGAGTGCTATTTCATTCACAGAAGATGGATTTTCTATGTTCCACATCAGCTCCCTCTTTTCTATTTCCAGTTCTTCAATAACTCCAGTCAACTGAGCTGTTTCATCTTCCAACTGTCGGATTCTTTTCATATAGGTAATTTCAGCATCGAGAAGGCTGTCCCTTTCCAATAAAACTTGTTGATACTGTTCTTGAGTCTCAGACCTATTGCTAGAAAGTGATAGCGTGTCATCCTGTACATACGTCGAATCTGCGACAGATTTTTTGGGTAGACTAGAGCTCTCGCTGTTAGAATTTTGGTTAGATTTTACTGGACTAGATCTTAGATATTTGGCTTTTCTTGATCTAACAGACTCCTGTACATCATCATCCGGTTGACTTAACCTTGTTGGTGAATTCGTGTTTACTTTGCGTAAAATCTTCGACTTCTGATTCAAATTTGACGAATCTTCTTCTTCCGTAGTCCAGGCACCAGTTCTGGGAACCATTTCCGAAGGCTTTTCCGGTGCAGGTGATTCGTTTTCATGCGATAATATCAGCGAATCTCGAGATGTTTCGTTACCAAACCGCGGGGTGTCGTCATCCACACGGAGTGGTGGAGCAGCCTTGAAGTGTTGTTTTTCTTTTGAATTGTCTTCGTGTATTGATTTAGCTGGTGTTGGAACTCGAACTTCAGCGAATCTGTCATCATCAACAACAAGTATATCAGGAACTGATGGATCTTTATTGGGGTAACTTTTGTCTTTTTTACTTGGGGAAAGAGATCTCCCTAATCTTTTGAAGAATCCAGGTTTATTTTCATCATTGTCTGCACTTTGCTTCTCTTGCTCTGCTTCTTTCCACTCCTGTTCAGCCATCAGCCGCTTGCGCTCTTCCACATTTTGAGCCCGTTTAACGTGATCGTTTGAGCTCAACTGCTTAGCTTTTAATAATTTCGATTCTTTTTCTCGAAGCGCTTTAAGGTCTCTTTCCTTCTGAAGTTTGATATCGTGGTTCAGTTGAGCATTTATTTCTCTCTCCTTTTGGGCTTTGGCTTCCCTCTCATGTTGAGATTTCAGTTCTCTTTCCTTTTTGGCTTTTAATTCCTTGTCCTTTTGCATTTTGAGCTCTTTATCTTTTTTGTCTTTTTCTTCTTTTTCCTTTTGGGCCTTGAGCTCTTTTTCCTTTTGAGCTTTAAGTTCCTTTTCCTTTTGAGCTTTAAGTTCCTTTTCCTTTTGAGCGTTACGCTCCTTTTCCTTTTGGACTTTGAGTTCCTTTTCCTTTTGAGTTTTAAGTTCTTTTTCCTTTTGGGCTTTGATTTCCCTTTCTTTTAAGGCTTTCAGTTCTTTTTCCTTGTTAGCTTTCATCTCCCTTTCTTTTTGTTCCTTTAGTTCTTTTTCTTTCTTGGATTTCAATTCCCTTTCCTTTTGTGCTTTCTGCTCTTTGTCCTTTAGGGCTTTTAATTCTCTTTCCTTCTTGGCAATCACTTCTCTCTCATTGTTAATCTTTAGGAGTTTCTCTTTTTCCTCTCTGAGTTCTCTATCTTGTTTGTCTTTTAAGTCCTTCAGCTCTTTGTCTTTCTTGGTTTGAAAATCTTTACCCTTTAATTGCTTTTCTTTCAGTGCTTTCAGTTGCTCTTTTCGGAGTTCTTTCTTGAGGGCCTCTGTGTCTTTGGGAATCTCCTGGGTACTATTTATAACGGACTTATCATCAATGTATGGGATATTAATATCGCCACGTTTAATATTCCTCCCTCGGACAGTATCTGCGGGTTCCGTCTCAAACGTCGCCTGCCTTGGTACATTGTTGTCGGGGTTTAGGCTGTCCATGATTGCAATTGTTTTGTATATAATGATATACTTACGATTAAAATTTTAACACACAATATCAACAATTATAAATTAAAACTAGGTCCGTCCTTAAAGTAACAGCTTCAATGGTGTACATAATTTTTGAAAACGGTGAGATAAACAGCTATTATTTGTTTCCTTTCGAGAAGCTGATTTTACGTGCAGTACACTATATATCTAATACACTGGTGGCTTGGGATTTGGCTCCATTTATGTTTTTAAAACCTCATTCATTGATTGGGGTTTAAATATAGTTTCAGAAAGTATTGACGTCAAATCTTCTTGTCTCCTACTGTTTGCCACTTAGTCTGTAGGATTAACCTGTCAGATTAACTTCATTACACCCTCAACATATAACTACTCTACGCGTGTTGCAGCTTGTCACTCGTCTTGATATCAGTGAACAATTCGCGTGTCTCTTATCATCGGTAAAACAAACTTCTTTTCACTCTTATTTGAATAGTGATTAAAAATTATTATATCGACAGAAATCTATTTCACAATGATTGTAGTTCTTCTGGTTAATCTTAAATGTTATGGAAGTATATCTGAATAATTATTAATCAATCTTCACAAAGCTATAAATATGATTAAAATACGTGCATAGCTCAGTTCTTATTTACTTCCATAAACATTTTTTTTATGCACAAATCGAAAGTTTGTTCTAATAACTATATAACATATATTCCAGATATGAAAACAAAATCACAGATGACTGATGTAGCTCAATCCGTCAACACATTAACAAATGGACAGAGATTTATCCAATCGATTTTGCATTGGGCAACTAAATGATAATATCCTATTCGATCTGTTCCCATTTATTAATTAAATGATCTAAAACCCTGACACATTAGAGTCGTAAATGTGATTAAAATATATTTGTATAGTCGCTATATACTGGGATCTAATTCTACGGACCATTCTTCATCAACTAACACAAACACACCATCGAATGTAACAACGCCTTTCAAGTGAGAGATGAACCGCCCAATTAATCGCCAATATCCCCAAATGTCACATCACACACGACAGGTAAACTGAAAATAATAAAGCCCGGTGTGTTTAATATTGTTATTGGTCATGTATCAAAATGTAATCGATAGAGATTGCCCTCGGGATGTCATTATTCATCACAACCCATCAATCAGTACAAATATAACTTAATAATCACCAGTATTTTATATGGAATATATTATTACATTATGTTTATACCAAATGTGGGATTTGAACACACTGACACAATATCATTCATATATTATTCCAATGCACAATAGATCGTCTGTATTATTACTGGAAGTGAATTTTCTCCATTTGAGATTGACACATGAAGTTTATATACATGTAAAATCCAACATTTATTAGGAACTTTAACAAGGGAACCATGGGTGTCAAGCGCTTTAATCGGATATTGTTAAAGGCCACTTCTGAAATCCACCTGAAAACCGATAATACTTCGTTTTGCAGGATAAACTACAATTTTAAAAGAACTTCTCCAATTTCAACACTCAAGATCTTTCAGGTGGAAGATTCCTCTTCTGTCCAAATCAAATTCTTCAAACCCTTGCACCCATGTTCCATATGATCTCTGTGAGGAGTTGTTGCCACGTATATTAGAGCTTTGTATAGATTCCATGACGTGTAGTTATGTAGTATGACCTTAGATCACCCGTTGATCTCCTGTAAGGTAAGAACAAAGATCAATAAATACGAGTTGTTCAACATGTTTAAGTCAGTATTGTCAGTTTCTACTACTCAATAACAAACCTAATTACATTAGAAACTCGCGTGTGAATATATAAATCTTATGATTTCTTTTAGAAATAGTTTTAAGCCACGTTTCATATCCCCCCAGGGTCAGAAAGTTTCCAAGTTTATGGTCACATGTTCTTATGATAATTTCAGCAATCACTGGTCAAACCAGTACCGGATTTAGATAAAAATGATGCCTTAGGCTAGCTATTCCATGAATGAGTTCCCTCCCAATCCTCACGACTATGGGAAGATGATGACGGATGTTAAAACTACAGAGCAGGTAAACAATATCATACACCTTGGCCAGAGAAACCCTAGATCTTGGGGCTTCATTCTTGCAATCCTTTAGGTAAATCCGTCCTTGGGTCAAACACTCTAAGCTGTTGATTGTTTTGAGGTGTACACCCCTTTAATCTAATCCCCTTTATTATAAAGTAACACGTGAGTGTATAATTCATTAGTAGTATTATCAAGGGAAATTAATCGATTGTTTTAATATAGCACACTGAGGTGTAATAATCGCAGTAACCAATCAACTCACAATATTGTTTTTGTGGTTTTAGAACATATCAGTGTTTTCTTGCGTTAACCATTCATTTACCCATAACTACCGTAGCAATCGGCATCGGTTTTATATACAGGGGAAGTATTTTTGAATCAAACATAACATCATGGAATAGAGTTTAACGTCCTACTTTTCAGCACCAACCGGACTAATGAAGACAGGCATACCTAATGCAGTGTGATATGAGAGAAATTTTGTCTGGACAACGTGTACACGGAACCTCGGTTTTTGGTCCAGTCCGAATGACGGAACGTGGTTAATTGTCAGGCCCCTGTCCTGCACCACTGACATAAAGAAACGCATAACAAAGATTTTTCAAGGTTTGCGAAAATTTAACATTCCTTTACCCCCTTTGTTTGTAGCCACGCGCTTGACGAGTGAAAATCCACGCTCTAATCTAGTGGACAATCCCGTATTAATATTATAATCCGGGGATTAGGAATAAAGAATTTGTAAATCTGTCCTATAAATATGTCCTATCAGTAAAATATGGATGCATGTAAAATCTGTTAGACATCCAGGGCATTTTGTAAAGAATCTTAACCATTGGGATATAAGAGGTCCGGAAAGTTTGTCTCTCCTCCGGCACGAGAAGCTTTTTGAATGTTGGCAAAACTGAGCGGGGTGAACGCCCTGTGTTTTGTGTTACGCATGTGATGTTACCTAAATGTGGCACTTTCTCTCTCTCAAATAGTACCAAAATCTAAAGATTTTTACTTGACATCCTCGGTGTTGTCCCATTGCTTCTTTTTTTTTTTAAAACAAAGCCGTCGGGAGTTTTTATAATTTCCTGTAGACATACAATTATATATTTATTTGTGATCACCTCAGTTTTTTGCGGTGTGGCGCAGCGTGAAATCTAGTGGATAACATGTGAATTTGATCAAATCGGAAGATCCGAGACAATACTTCTGCTAATTTAGATGTATACATGTATAGGACCAGAGAGGAGTGATGAGAAAAAGATCGCAAATATATACTCTGCACAAGCAGGAGAGGGCCCAGACCCCCAACTCCCTCTTTACACGCGCTTGAATCTATATCCTGTTATAAATTTATATACTAGATTCTGTTATACATGTACGGCAATCCCACCTTGGCCCTAAAACAAACCTTCCCACATTCTAAGATCACGTGATACCTATGCTAAATTTACCTTAAAGATGCCTTACCATGTACACATTGGTGGATATGATTATATATTTAGACTAAAACATAATTCAAACTAATTAATCGATCAATAATTTGCTTCAAATGCCTCACAAAGCATTGTATCCATGAGAAAATATTACAAGCTATAAAAAAGTAGTCATGTTTGTGTCACGTTACTTTGTGGTCGCGGAGGCTGCCAAGCCGAAGGAGAATTTATTGCATATAAAAGACGATATTTTTGTCTGTAATCGCTGCCTATTTACCGCAAATATCGAAGCCTAAGTAAATTCTGTGATTATTCCCTGCCCAGTTCTTTTTCCGCAGTTTAGTCTCAGAATCTGTTATACGTTTAAGACTCACTTTTCCCACGTGCTAACTGTAATATTTATCAACATACACATATATACCAAAAATTGCTATATTTTTATTGCAAATAACCACCCGATAAATATTTTTTGTGGGAATGCATCTTCAGCTTTTAAAGGAGCTAAATCGCTAACATTTGGGACCTAGAAATTGACAAAAGTGGATCGCAACGCATATAATACTGTAATATGAATGTATATAAACTGATTTACTTTAAATGGTTTCCGTTTTTCCTCCAATTTCAAATCAGTTATGTTCGGCGAAATAATCCAGCAGTCTACTTTCACTATCATTAATTGCGTCGTAGACTTCGTATATACAGTTGAGATATATTCACTCGAAAGTAAGGACGTGGCGAAGAAAGACGGAGACATGAGTGGTGGAGATTCGATCAAAAAGAAGGGGGCGAAGAAAGACACGAGTGGTGGCGATGTAGATGGTTCAAGATTACTGTTTTTTGATTTTGAGACAACTGGATTAAGTAAGTGTTATCGGCTATATAGAATGCAAACACTAAACTAATAATGAAATTAAACCATATTTAGTCAAATAAGTCCATTCTCATAGAATGTTTACTGATTTGTCATAGAGTACCGATTGAATACCTAGTCCTAAATCCTGCTTTCTTGGATAACCTTTCCACCTGCACAGGGGCGGATCCAGGAATTTTTGAAGGAGGGGTTAAGGAAATTTGACAGTTGGCAATGCATGCATGATGCGATCATCGTCGCTTAATTACATAGGCATTCATACACAAAGAGAGAAATCCAACACCCCTTTTGATGTCAATTTTTATAATGAATTAATAGGATCACACCGTGATTCAATTTCATTGATGCAAAGCATTAATTGTGATATCACACATGTCCATATCATTATTTCACGCTTTGAATGCCAATCCCATCCCACCATCTGATAATAAAGGATGAAGCATACCACCGTCACACTTTTCTCATTAAGTGTTGTTTTAGAAAAAAAAATTATGTAGCTGACCCCCAAACCCACCTCTAGATCCATCCGCCCCTGTTGCATCATGCGTGAGCATAAATTCACACCGATTCCACCCCTCTCTCTCTCTCTCTCTCTCTTCTCTCTCTCTCTCTGGAGGGCCAATTTTGACATGATGTTGACTTAGTTCGTTTTCATTTTATAGTTAAAAAAGAAGAGTAGGCTAAAACCCATATATCTGTTGACTTAGTCTGTTTTCATTTTATAGTTAAAAAAGAAGAACCATGCCCACATATTATACAAATAGGTGCAGTTCGGGGTGAAGAGGAGTTTAAAGTGTATATTCGTCCAAAAATACCTATTTCGTTTGGGGCATCCAAAGTAAATGGAATAACGTATGAAGATGGTGTTATGAGAAGCGGAGGGGAGGAGGTAGATTGTGTAGATATTAAAGAGGCCTTGAAACAATTCTGTTGTTTCATATCTGCGAATGGAAATGGTTCTGAACTTGTTGGACATAATATTAAGAACTTCGATTGTAAAGTTTTATATCATGCTGTATATCGTAACGAAATGATGGAGGAATTTTCCTCGGCTATTGAGGGCTTTATCGATACCTGTATGGTATTTAGAAAGGTTTACCCGGACCCCAAAGGTTATAGTCTCGACAAATTACTTGAAAAATATTGTAGGGAGTCTAGATCCGCAGTGCATGATGCATTATCAGACGCACAACTGACCAGAAAATTGTTTCAGTTTGTAAAATTGGCGCCCGAAACCCGGGAATCTTTATTTTCATGGAAATCAGTAGTTTCTGCCTGTTCGTTACAACCTCCATGGTCGTCTTTTTCGGATAATATCTAAATTTTTTAGGGCTTTATCCCCGCTTACATGTACTCTCAAAATGATTATTTAATTAAGAAAACTCAATCAAATATTAACCCAGGCTTAGATCCAAACGGATTAAAACAGACTGGTCAATGTCTGCCGATGATATCTTTGTAAATACTGCACATTAGAAGGAATTGAATCATTTTGGTATGATATTCCTTGTAGAGATTCAATCATTATTTTCATAATATAATGCATCTCCCGGTAAAATAGGTCTTTATATTTCATTTCGAGATGTTACGTTTCTCTTAAAGTACATGTATCATTTTTGTTATGGCTAAAATTAAAATACGTGTAAACAAACCATCAATTTTGAAACTAATAATTATAGACTGTATGTGACATCATCATAAACATGATAATTTTGCTTCCCCTTTAACATTGTTTTTAAGAAAATAAATCTATTTTGGAATATAATTGTTATTATTGTACATTGTGTCAATGTAGTTTTAACGCTGTAATCATGTTCAAGCAGTGTCAAACAAATGCCGTCGCCTAGATATGCTACAAATCGTCACAAGCATATTCGTGACAGCCCAAAATATTATCGGACCACCCTAACGATATAAATGTTTTTTTGTGCCCTGAGTTTTGTGTTCCCCCCTGTAAATTATAGCCACCGTGGTTCAGTTTGTAAGATCCCGGTGTAGGCCGAGAAAGTTCTTAGGGATCTTCCCACGTCGTTTCCCAATTGTCAGTGATGTTGGACGGAGGGATGCTGTAGCAATATACGTTGGTCGAATATGGAAAGCGGCGTCACCAAATCGTTTACCACATCCAACGTGTGACACATTCCCTGCTACACATCTATTGTTAGCCCGTAATCGTCTAGGTTTGACTCTGGCGTGGATATTATTGTAATTCTCTACGGTTAGGACTTCACTTTACTTCACTCCTTGTGTACGTATTTACAGCAACCGCCAGATCATATGGTTATCAGGAACAACAATACAAAGCAGATTACATGGTTACAAGCATAGACTACATAAAAATAACATGTCTC